GAGTTGTGCAACTGATTATCCTCTTTCCAGTAGCAACAGCAGCAGCAGGCGCGTTTGTTCTCCCTTAGCCAGCTCACATAGCCCCCTGCGCGCCTACCGGGACGACTAATCCTTTCATCAGTCACGGCATCGGTCACCTCAGAAGCGCACGTAAGCTGCATTCTTCTTACAGTGTTGCACCCAGCAGTAGCCGCCCTACTGCGCACCACAACAGCCACGACCACCTAGCTAGCTCAGTGCTGCAGAGGATGTGTCGCAACGACCCAATGTTGCCGGCTGCTGCTGCTGCTGCGGCGGCGGCGGCAGCGATGCCCCATGGGAGGCGTGGCTCCTCATCATGCGTTGTGCGGGTGCTGGCGATACTGGCGGCGCTGCTGCTCGCAGCAGGTGGTCGGGGAATGGGAGTTGCCGGTGGCAGCGCAAGCGGGGCTACATACAGGTGTTGGGCTTGTGCGTGGTAGACTGTTTTGTGTTTTCCCCGCGCCCGCCTGGCTTTCCCACTGCTAGCCCTGCCACGCATACTCGCCTTGCGGTGGCTAGGCCATCCCTTGCCGCCACGCACTCCCCCCCCAATTCTCCGCCGCTCCTCCTCTTCTCCTTCATCCCCTCCTGACCAGCCTCCCTAATGAGCTGCCTGACCGCCTCCACCCGTCTCCCTGGTTTGCTGCTTGCCGTACCTACGGTCTCCCTAATAATGATGAGCTGATTGCCGTACGTACATCTGCCGTACATCCCTCCGCCCCTGCAGCCCCCCTCCGCCCCGCCTCCGCCGGGGAGGTGCTGCTGCACAACAGCAGCCTGCTGGTCTCCACCGCCACCTGCGACCCGGGGCCACCCGACCGGCAGGCATTCGCTGCGGCACTGTTCGCAGCCGCACTGAACGGCACCGGGCTCAGCGAGCGAGCGGATTATGCGCAGGCGAGTGGATGTATGGGTCTTGGGTGGGGAGGTGAGGTGGAGGTGGCGGTCCACCTGCAGTGCGGCGGGATTGCAGGGAGGCAGGATGGTAATGCGTCCAGGAGCGGTGGCAATCGTGGCATGCACGAGGGGTCTCGTTAAACACCGGTACCGATAGCAAGCTTGCTCCGCGTCTGCTGGGTTATCTGCTGATGTGCTCCCCGTCTCAAGCACAGGCCTACATGTGCCCGGATAATGAGATGCTGTGCGGCGGGCTGTCCCCACTCAAGGTGCGAATGGCGCAGGGTGAGGGAGGTGGGGAGGAGGGAGGTCTGGGGGGCAGGCGGAAGGTAAGGGAGGGGTCAGGGGAAGTGGGGCACCCTAAGGCGCCCGTTACCTCGGACGTTTTCTTCCATAGCCTTAAGGAGGCATAGTGCCGCACCGCAATGTCCGCCTGAACACAACGACGGAGGGAGGGCAGGGGGCCTAGCGTAGGACACCGGCAATGAGATTGCGATAGTACTGTACCACCCGCCCACCAGCCACTACCAGCCACCACCCGACCTTCTCGCCCCCCCTCCTCCCGGTCAGAGCAACGCCAGCGTCTCCGCCGACAACGCGTTCCTGGTGGTTCCCCCGGGGACCCGGCTCAGGTCGCTGCGTCTAGTGCTAGGCAGGGTGCGCGGGGTTGGTGGGGGCTCGGCAGCAGGTGGGCGTGTACGGCAGTGAGGAGGTGTCCGGCACACGGCGCATGCATGCTGGGACCTGCGCACGCTTGCTTGCGTTTTCACGGCCCGCAAGCTATTTAAGCTCCAAAGCAGCAGGGCTAACTGAGCAGCTCTTGCTGTTCCTCGCCCCCTGGTCATGGCGGTGTGCGCGCATGCATGCATGCAGCATGCATGCGAGCCCCGCAGCCGCGTAGCGCGGATCAGCACATCCGCAAGCCCGAACACCCTGCCCCGCATTCCATACCTCCTATTCGCTATCCCTGTAGCATTTTCCTGCACTTGTGCGTGCAAGCCCGGTTACATGCCGCACCCCAGCCTTAAATTGTTAAATAGCTCAGCACCCCTCCCCCGTCGTTCGGGTTGGTTTACCGGCAATCCTCATCCCCGCCCTCCTCCCCTCCCCCCCCCCCAGAACAACACGCTGGCGCTTGGCGACGCGGCCATCCAGCGCTCCTCGCTGCTCCTGGGCGCCACCAACTGGCTGACTGTGCGCAACACCAGCAGCCGCCTGCTGCTGCAGGAGAGCACCCTCAACTTCACGAACTACATGGCATGGTGGGAGGGAGAGGCGCGGCGTGGGATGTGCGTTGTGGTGGAGCAGCGTGGGCACTGCATGGGAGAGGAGGGGGGTGAGAAGCAAAGCGTCACCAGGGGGCCACATGGGAAGCGCAGGCTGAGAGCTCTTCCAGCACCCAGCATCCCGAGCCGCATGTCTGCCATTCGATTGCTAACAGGCTGTGCACTTGCGAGCAACCGGTGTACGTACCCGTTGCGAGACGGCGAGAGGATTGTCCTCCTGGAAGCCCCATCCACGACCCTTGCACGCACCCAGGCCACACCAGTAGCTCCCTACCCTCTCCCCCTCCCCCTCCCCCACACCACACATCACACCACACTTTGGAATTTCTTTTTTTCCCCTCCCCCTCCCCTTGGGCGCCTGGCCGCACGTGCGCAGGACTGTGGAGAACAGCACGGTGCAGGTGCTGCGCAGTGTGCTGGACTTGAGGGATGTCGTGGTGTACGGCAACCGCAGCTCCCTGAAGCTGGACGGATCCACATGGCGAGTATGTGGTTGCGGGTGGGCGATGGAACCAGGGTGCTTACTAAGTAGTGAAGGTCCAACGGGAGTGGTTGGAATGGCTGGGGACTGTGGGAATGACAGTGCGGGGTGGTTTTGGTTTTCAATGGAACAGAGGAAGGGTCGTGTTGCACTTTGGACGCTGCTGGCTGCTGTTTCTATTGCGTCCGCACAGTGCATCGCCTCCGTGGCACGGTACGTCATGCAGCGGGCTCAGGACCTGTTTAACGGTCCGTGCCCACAGCCAAAATGCCTCACATGGTGTACCCTCACGTATCCCCATGCACTCATGAACTCTTTTGCGTCCCTGTCCCCCGCTAAATACACGCACGCCCACCCCGGGCACCTACATACCTCGGGCGGGCAGGAACGTGAGCGCTGACCCCGCAGCGCCCGCCCCCCCGCTGTACGGCGGCAGGACAGCGCCCGTGCTGTGGTTTGACCACTCCAACATCAGTGCCACCAGTGGGTGGGGGCGGGACAGGAGGAAGGCACTAAGGGTGGTGGTGGAGGGATGCGGTGCCCATGGTTGGGTTACTAGGGGCATAATGGGGATTGGGGGTGCCGCAGGGGTATGGGGGCGCCTAGCTGCTGGTCGCGCTCTCCTCGCTCCAAAGCGCCACAAGCTCCCGCATGGCTAGGCGTCCAATGTCCACAGGTAACGCAGCATGGGGCCGATAAGGCAACCTGCATGCACGGATTGCCAGCTCCCCGGCACCTGCACATCCTGGTGAACCTCCCACGCCAGGTCCGCCTGCTGGCCCCGTCTGCACACGTCACTCGCCAGCACCTGCCCTTAAACCCCATGATATTCTTAATCCTACCACCACCACCACAGCATCCCCACCTCGATAGTTCCTATACCCATCCGCCCGCCCAGACACCGAGGTCGTGTTCCGCAACCTATCCCGCGCCCTGCTGACCGGCAACTCCAGCCTACTGCTGCGCAACAGCACGCTGCACCTGTTCAACAGCACGCTGGAGCTGTGGGGCGGCAGGCTGGACCTGGCGGATGGCGCGCTGGAGCTGCATGACGGCAGCACGCTGGCGGTGAGGGGTCGTGCAGTTCCCGTCCAGCCGGCTCCACCTTGCACGCCAGACCAACTCAACACCTCCCTCCTTGCCTTTCCCCCACCCTTTACCCGCACCCCCCCCCTCCCGACCAGTTGTACTGCGGTGCACGTGCGGGGTTGCAGTCCGTGCTGTCCGCCGCCGCCTACTCCAGCCCCGCCAACGCGCTGTCGGGTCCGCCTGCGGGCCGGGTGCTGGGGGCGGCCAACGGGGTGGTGCTGCAGGACCGGGAGGCGCGACTGGAGCTGACGCAGGTGGGGCAGGGAGGGGTGGTGAAGGGAGGCGGGGTGGGGCGGGGTGAACAGCAGTGTGGGATGGAGAGGATGGGATTTTATGGGTAGTGGGGGAAGGGGATGGAAGGGCGCTCAAAAAGAAGCGCGCTGGGGGCCGTGGCCTAACGCTGGATATGGATTTGGGGTTTGCGGGCGTGAACACACATGTGCGGGAGGGTTGCCCTCCTCGTCCACGCTCTAACCCTAGCATGCTGCTCAGTCGCCTGTTGCTCCGCTGCGCCCGCCTCCAGATGCCTGGGGAGAACCTCTCCGCACGTCTCAGGGAGGGGTGGCCCTGAGGTGGGCTTGAGTGTCGCAACTCGCGGACTTGTGCACTCCGGGCTGTCGATTGCTGGGCACTATCGGTTGGATGTCAGCTGCTTTGGGTTTGCTAGCTGAGAGCATGGAGGACCTATAACTGTTGTCGTGCATATAGATGAACATTAATAGGTTTGGATCATCCACCGGTTACGTTATTTCAGGGTAGCCGGCCGGATGGATGGTCTGCTTAGGCTTTAAGTAGCACGCTTGTGTCTTACCGGCGGGGGCATTGTCTACAGAGCTTCGATCAAAAGTTCTGTTTCGAGGGCTTGACCTACTTCCAGCCGACGGCACGTGCTGACGGATGCTCGCACCCCTACATGTCGCTGGCCGGAAGGGAATGTCCTGTGGCAGCATGAAAAGCCGACCCAAAGTGTAAAACTGACCCAGGTAACCGACATCGCACGCTGCTTGGTATGGGAAACCTGTGAGAGACGACCGTTAACCGTTGGTAACCTAGAGGACTTGCGTGGGAGCATATCAATGCGCAAGGAGAGCTTCAATACGCATGTAGTGACATTTTTGGTAGCTGGTATAAGCGTCCATGGAAGCTAGGTATACGAGACATGTACGACACAGTCAAAGCGGTCTTGGCCTTTGCACTCCCTACCCAGAAATGTATATCTACTACCACCTTTAGCCAAAAATTCGCTTGCGGCGCCTTGATTTGCACTATACGTTTGCCTGTCCTATCTTCCCAGGCACCGAATGCACCGTAGGACAAGGAAAAGATGACATTTGCCGTTACTCTGTGACTAGTAAGACACATATTTGTTGTTCGGGTTGTTAGGCTTATTTCTGCCATAGTTACCTTCGCAAAAGGCTTACCTGTTAACACATCTTGGAATTTCTTGCGGTCCACTTCAAGAGCCATGCGTGGGCTATGCGCAAAAACTATTATGACTGCATCTTGCTCACTATACTGTTGACTGGTGGTTCGTTATGGCGTCCTCGTCGCCTCCTCCACTTCCGGAGTCCTCGCCGCCCCCTCCTGGCGAGAGTTCGGCACAACTTTGGTATGTGGGGGCCATCATCAACGTGGTAAGTTGCCCCCTCCTCCCCTCCTAAAGAACTGTTTACTCTCCCCGCTTCAACGACCCACCCAACCATGTCAACCCAACCCCCGCCTTGCAGGTTGGGAGTATTTCCATCAACCTGGGCATGGTAAGGACCAGGAACTCAGGGTTATAGGGCTTTAGGCATTTCCATAGCCTCTTCCCTAGCAGCAACAACTGAGCCCTTCAATGCAGAACATGATGAAGCTAGGGCACACGAAGCGGGATGAGCTGGACGTCCCAGAGGAGGAGAAGCCGCCCATCCGCAAGTTCAGGTCCTGGCTGTTTGGGATCATTATCTTCGCGACGGGCAACGTGCTGAACTTCGTATCCTTTGGTGAGTGATGTGGCCTTGGGCCTCTTCCAAAATCCAGCAGGGGAAGGGTCACGCCTCACGGGATAGCATGGCTTGGAACGTAGGGCATACCCCACCAGCCTGCACTCCCCGCTCTTAGCCCCACCTCCCCAGTGTGATCCCGGTTTTCACATCCGGAATGTGCCAAGTCGGTACGCATCAAGTCGCGCACCTGCTCCCTTCCCCATCATAAGTAACACCTCCTTCACTCCGCCGTGCGCACCCTCCCCCCACCCCACCCGCCCCTGCACAGCCTTCGCGGCGCAGTCGCTGCTGTCGGCGCTGGGCAGTTTGCAGCTGGTGTGCAACGTCGTGTTCGCCTACTTCGTCAACCACGAACCCGTGAGTGGCGGCAGTGGGCGGAGGCGACATGGGGGAGGCCCACGGCTGGGGCTGGGTGCCGCCGTAGCGGGTGGAGCGAACATGTTAGCCGCCGGGCTGGGAGGAAAAGCAGGAGGCTGCAATTCCTTGTCATCCCTCTCTCCCTCCCACTCTCATTCCACCCCGCCCAACTCCCCCCCACCCCGGCAGATCACCAAGCTCATCATCTTGTCCACGCTGTGCATCATCGGCGGCTGCGTGCTGCTGGTGGTGTTCGGTAACCAGAGCTCCGAAACCTACACCGTGGCGATGCTCATGCACTTCTACACCCAGTGAGTACCCTGACCGGTAGCAGCGTTGCATGTGTGTTTGTAGCACGTGGTGGATACTGCATGGGGTATCAACTTGATATCTGGCGCTGGCTGCAGCTGTGAGCTGTTGCATGGCTATGGCTGGCATGGGGCGGGGGTATGCGGGGTGACGCGTCAGGGGGTGCTGTCTGGGAGCTGCCGCCCTGACAAAGCACACTGATTGGCAGGGAAGCCGCATGCCCCCATCGCTCACTGTATCACTGCTGCCTTCGCGCTTTCAAGGAATGAACGTGTCCGCAAGCCCGCTGTCTGCACAGTCCCCAACCCAACCGCCTTGTCCGCCTGCAGGCCTGCCTACGTGATCTACCTGGTAATGATGGGCGTGTTCGTCTTCGGCTTCTACATCGTGTACCTGCACTGCAAGAAGGTCTCACGGTGAGAGCCGGGGAGTGGGGTTTGGAGAGCTGGCGGCTCAGACGCCCACCGGTTGCACCGTGGGGCTAGACCCACATGCAATCCAGGCCGGGTTCGGGTTCGAGGTGGGGACGGTCCGCCAGCAGCAAGGTAGCCAACACTCTTCGTGCATGTGCCTGTATCAGCCGACTAGCCTGCCGTACAATGACAACACTGCTTACATAGCTTACGTGTGCGGTGCCTGGTGCGGCCTCCCGCCAATGCCACTGTGAGCGTTCTTCCTATCTTTCTGCGGAGTATCCATCCCCCCTTAACCCCTCCACCTGCGCCTACCTCCCCCCCCCCTTCTCCTGCAGCAAGCACGGTGCGGCGGCGGGCTGGACGGTGATGCTGATGGTGTCGTACGCCATCTTCTCGGCGCTGCTGGGCTCGCAGAGTGTGCTGTTCGGCAAGAGCATCTCGGTGGTCGTGAGGTCGATCATAAGCGGGCCGGGCAGCGTGCGCATTACGCAGGTGGGTGGGTGTGAGGGCGAGGTTGCGACTCCGTGCGCTGTGGGGCTTTTTGCATGATAGCACGGTAGCCTGGCATGCCGAGTTCCGTTTGCCAGGTCTTTGGGTGCTTCCTTTAGCTGAGCGCCGCGAGCCCCCTCCCGTGTGCATGCGCCTTCTCCCTCCGCCTGGTTGACACACGCAGTTGAAGAGCTGGTACACGTACGTGGCGCCCCTCATCTTCATCTTTGTTGCGCTCTTTTGGGTGACGCGCCTGAACAAGGTGGGTGCGAGAGAGCGGGCATGTTCGGCGTGCATGTATGGTTGCAAAGGGGCATGTGAGGCGGGTGGGATGCATGGGCGGGTGAGGGGCTCCCGTCATGTCTCATGTCTCATGTGGAGCTCTGCCGCGGTAGGGGTTTACCCCGCCGCGTGCGCAAGTACGTACGGCGCCCCTTGCTGTCCCCATGCAAGCCTGATGCTGAGGCACCAGCTGAGGTGGAACCTGTATGCATGGCAGCCATGATTTACCCTGCCATTCCACAGTCCCTTTCTGTGTCCAACAACCTATGACGCATTCTCACTAGACCTTTCCACTCCTCAAGACCTTCCCCCCCTCCTAACCCCCACCCACCCCACCCCCCGGTCTCCCTCCTCGTCCAGGGTCTGCGCATGTTCCCCGCCATGCTGGTGGTGCCGCTGATGCAGATCGCCTGGACGCTGTTCTCCATCGTGTCGGGCATGCTGTACTTCCAGGAGTACACGGGCTTCACCACGCTCAAGGCCATCATGTTCCCTGTGGGAGTGCTGGTAAGCGGGGCGGAGGCACAGCGAGGGTCCGGGCGGCAAATTCGCTGCCTCCCGCTGTCTCACCTGTACCAGCAGCAAACGATGCCACAAGGCGAACAAAGAGTTGATGCCCTCTTGAGCCCCTCAACGAGTTTACTACAAAAGACTTGTGTGGAATCCCTCGAGCTGTTAGTGTTGCTTACCTCTTTCCCCGTATTTCCTTTACTGTAACCTCTTTCGCTCCACGCACACGGTCCTGTAGGTGGTCTTCTTCGGTGTGTTCCTGCTGACGGTGGGCCACCGGGGCGGCGCCGCGGAGGAGCTGGAGGGGGAGCTGGAGGAGAAGCCGTGCGGGGGGCTGGCGGTGCACGACAACGCAGCCTTCAGCAACGTCTCGGAGGCGGGGGACTCGGTGCCTTCCGAGATGCACCCGCAGCACCCCAAGATGTCGCTGGGCCAGACGCTGCGGCTGACAAGTGAGGCGCCCGCTGTGGCACCCGGTGGCGCTGGGGGGCGGGGTGATGCGTGGGGGCATGGGGGGTCATAGCCCAACGGCTGTGTTGCACTTGAACCTGGACCCCCATTGCTGCATGCGCCCATGCGAGCCGGTGCGCATCATATAGATGCGCAATCAAAGCGCATGTGACTGCTTCCTTCATGCTCCTTCCGGCCTCTTGTCGTACTCGTACTCGATTGTCTCACCTACCCGCCCTCCTGCGCACCCTCACCCAACTCTGCAGGCACCTGGGCGCCCGCCAGTGTGGCCGTGTCGCCTGGCTCCGCCATGGGGCGCACGCTGATGACCGGCGAGTCCATCCGGCGCAGCAGGCGCGTCGTGGAGGGCCCCGCCGACCTGAACGCCTCCGCGCTCACGCACCGCTCCTATCGCACCGACGAGGGCGAGCACGCCGCCACCGCCAGCACCCCCGATCGCAACAGCACCCTCAACAAGACCACCCACAGCAACGCCTCACGCGCCTCCGAGACGCCCTCCATGTGGGTTCCTTGAAGCCAAGGATGCGGTTGTTTTGGGGTTCTGGGAGATGGGCCGGAACTGCTGCCTGCCCGACATGTCGCATCGTCACCTGATGTCGTTGTCTGGCTTGCTTTTCCTCACACGTTCACTGTTATGGGAGTCGTGGTGTTAGGAGGCCACCAAGCCTGGGGCACGCGACCACATACGGAGCCATGTTGTAGCGCTGTCCACCCCTACCCCTAACATGCCCGCTGCCTCTTGGGGCTGCCTCTGCGTTGTTTCCGCCTGCCGCAGGATGGGCACCATGCGCAAGGGCCTGCGGTCGCTGCGGCTGCTCGCCAGCGACCTGATGGACCCCAGGACCGGCCTCAAGCTCACCGTGGGGCTGGGAGACAGCGGGCTGGCGGCGGTGGGGCTGGGGGTCATGCCCGTGCTGCCCACGAACGCCAAGGTGGGTAGGAGGGGCAGCGGTGCAGGTTACCTTCGGGACCATGAAGGGCCCCTAGGCGTATGTATGTTATACAGAAAGAAACTGGTGTGTGGGTGCGTCGTGTGGGCGAAGGGAATGTTTCGCAGTGTTCTGCTCAGCGGTGCCTGATGCCGGCACCATGTTACCTTAACAGTCTTCCCCCGGCCTTGTTCTGGGACGCAGCAACGGCCTAGTCGCTCGGGAGGCGCGCTGGAGCTGGCGAGCTCGCTGCCCCGGTCCAAGTTCCACACCTACAGGGCGGTGAGCCTTGTGTGGGGTCCTGCGGGGCTGGAAGAGGACCCACCGGGTTTGGCCAGATGTGCATTTGCTTGACTGGCCGCGCTTCTGTCCACCCAGTGCCGGGCCGTGTGTTGCCGGTGATACTGACAACGTTGCATGCTGCCCCTTCTGTCCCCTCCCTCGCAGGACGCGGACACGCTTGCTCCCATCCGAGAAGCAAGCGGAGTAAGATCATTGTTCGGGAGCCGTGCCCCATGATTGCAGGTCTCCGTTGTTCCCCATCTTTATATGGTTGCCGCCATCCATCCCTCTCCTTTGCCTTATGCCTTCTCACCATAACGCTGATGCCTTCCATAAAGGAGTGATGCAGTACATTCGTGACGCATTCTTAACTGCATCCTGTCCTCCTTGCCTGGTTGCATCAAACGCGTGCTAATGTCTCTCTCCGCCCACCTGCACATGCAGCTGCCCCCCACCAAGCCGCCCAGCATGGAGTTGGCTGCCTCCCTGACCGCAAGCAGCCAGCTGCACCCCAGCTCGCATGGCGGCGCGCGCACTCCGGGGCCTGGCGGCAGCCCACCTCTTGGCGGGAGACAGCCTACCTCAAGCCGCCATGCATCGCCGTTCCGGCCGGCTCGGCGCCCCTCAGGGGGGGATGAGTTCGCGGCCCTACGCGACATGCTGCCCGCTCCCTCATACCGGCCGTCGCAGGACCATGTTGACATCGGGCATCAGGATGCCAGGCCGCAAGCGCCGCCCCAATCCTCCGGCGCTCCGGGTAAAGGGCCGAGCTTCCGACGTGCGCCCCAGTCCGGCATTCCGGAGGGCCGGTTACCGCTGCCCGGCTTTGGACCGGGGCCTGGGCCAGGCTCTTCGCCCTCACCAGGCGGGGAGACGACGACGTCTCGTGCCTACGAGTCTGACTCGCCTTCCTCCCCACGGCGGTATGCGGCGGGTTACGGAGGCCCGCCGGACGCTGCAGCCGCGGTGGTGTGGCCCCCAGCGCCCAGTGGGCGGCAGCCCGGCAAGCCCGGCAGCTTCGCGACGCTGCCTGAGGGCGTGCCGCTGAGCACCGCCAACAGCATCGTGATGCACGAGAGCCGCCCCAGCACCCCGCCGGAGGTGATGCTGGGCGGTGGGGGGCCCGGCGAGGTGCAGGGTGGGCCCCGCATGGCGCCTTCTTGGCTGCAGCAGGCGGCGAGCAGCCCCTACCGGCAACCGTACGGGCAGTACCAGCAGCAGCCGCAGTACCAATCCCAACAGCAGTCGCAGTACCAGTACCAGCAGCAACAATCGCAGTACCAGCAGCAGCAGCTGTCGCAGTACCAGCAGCAGCAGTATCAGTACCAGCAGCCGCAGTATCAGTATGTAGCGCCGGCACCGTTGGGAGGGCTGCGATCCAGTGTCCCGCACATGACAGGAGCCCGCCTGCCGAGACCGCACCTGCTCATACCAGGCATGCCGGTGATGAGTCCGCCGGCAGCGCAACCGGCTGTTGCAGGGACACTTCTGCCGTACTTGCAACAAAGTGTGTCGTACGCGCAGCTGCTATCGGGACAACTGGTAGCGGACGGGGGAGGGCTGATGGGCCCCATGCAGCCCCATGCCAGCGTCGGATCACATGGAGGCTTCATGCCTGCTGGTGCTCCGCCCGCCGCTGTGCTGCTGCAATCACGACAACACTCACCGCGTGGCCTGAGTGTTTCTAGGTCTTGGGCGGGAGTAGGTGGTGCGACTGGGGGTTTGGGGGCGTCCCACCAGTCGCCGCTGCGCGGGAGCTACTTGGGGCCGCAAGCACGTGCGTTGCGGCCCTGGCAGTACTGAGGCGCGGCAGCAGGGGTGAAGTGGAGGCCGCCGCGACCCGTGCGTTGTGTACTTTTGTTTCTAGGATGTATACGCCGTGCCAAGCAGCACGGATATCCGCGCTCGATGGAGCGTAGTCGTGAACAAGAAGCAGTTTGCATGCACGCATTCGGCATTTATAGAAGTAACGGCACTGAATAGTACTGTGATCAAGCACGGATGCTTGCAAGCGGGAGCTTCTTGCAGCGAGCTCGCGTGATGTGCGTTTGCCATATTTACCGTTGGCTATCTGTACTGCAAGCAACACGTTTCGGATGAGACATCGTGACAATGTGACCGTTGTTAATTAGGAAGCGGCTTAGGCCGCTGTGCTCTTGTACTTTTTCGGGAACAAGAAGGCCCAAGGCTGCCTCCCCACTCCTATGTTTGCATGGACTGGGTTTTTCCGGCATAACGATAGGCCACAGCATATGTTGTAATAGGCAGCGACTTGGCTGCATGCACGTGATCGGGCAACTGGTGATGTTTAAAGCAGGTCCAGTTGCGGTCTGCACGCATGTACAGTATGGTCAGTGGGAGCCAGAGAGGGGTCAAGGACGCTGTCAAGGAAGCGGAGTCAGTTTGGGACAGGTCCCTTCGCAGGCCGCGCTAGGATGTTAGTGAGTTTGCGCGCCGGTGGCACAAGCTGCACATGTGCTATGATGCTGGCTTTGTACCGCCAAGGATCTTTCCTACATCTTCCATTCGGTAATGCGTCCGTTTCACTGTTCGGGATGTCTCAAGGCATTCCTTGTTCTGTGTTGATCTTAGTTGACCCAGGGCAGCGACCCAGGGGGGCGACAGGGATCGCCCTCTCACCTGCTACCACTGTACATGTTGACTCGCCGGATGTCTTGGCATCCCCCTTCCCATACCACTCAGAACGCCACGCTGCACAGAAAGCAATACCAACCCTGCATCACGCTACTCGGCGGGGCTGCCCAGTTTGCGAACCCCACCAACACTGCACTTCTTCCACCTGCCAGCCTTGTCAAACGGTTAGTGTATTTTTCTTTTCCAACCTGCATCATACGCATCTCGGCTATGACATCACCGCACGCCACCTCACGACGTCGCTTTCCACTCCATGCCATGACTCTCTAATGAAGTGCCAGTTACCAAGGAGAAATGTGATGTACGGCGAACAATATTCACATATTGCATGTACAACTATGCATAACAAGCGCGCCGTTTTACGTAGAGGCCCTGGCAGCGACAGACAATGCAATGCCTGTCGTACGCTGCACGACAAACATGTCCAACAGCACGAGTGCAGCTCGCTTACTAAGCCCCCTCGTAGCCCCTGTGTGGCTATCGCCTTTTAAAATCGCGTTCATCATCGTCGTCGTCGATAAGGTCAATCTGTTCCCGGCCCCGCTTGTTGCCACACACTCCAGCTCCTGCTGTACCAGCTGCCGGCCCCGCACCGTTCACGCCAGCCTTCTGCGGCGCTGCCCCGCCAACTGGGGCGAAGAAGTCTGATATGCGGCGCGACCCCGCTGCGGTCGCCCCTGATGCACCGCCTCCGCGGCTACTGGGCTCGCTCCCGGTCCCTCCAGGGGCGCCCGCTTGCTGGTTGGCGGCCGCGGCCCCTGGCTCCCCCGCCCCCTCCTCCAGATCCGCGTCGTACCCAGGCCGTGTGCCCGGAGCGTTGGTCCCCAGGCCGCGCACCTCACGTGTCGCATCCACCTGCAGCGTCAGAAGACACCACATAGGTGGCAAGGTTTGAGATGTGCATGCATCAAAGAGACGATCCCACGCTTCCCCAAGAACGGTATGGAAGCAGTAGCTTGTCGTGGCTCGTGGACGCAGTTGCGGCGCAACGGCCGAACATGTCCTGCAGACTGCCATCGAAGGCGGCTCTGCTGCATAGCAAAGCCTTACCTTGATGCATGCACCGCTGCCATCCAGCACTTTGCCCACGTTGCCAAGCTTTGTCTGCATGGGCAAGGCGACAACGACAATAGGACAATTCAGATCGCATGGGAAACGCAGGGACCGTCAGGGTACACCCATCCCCACGAATTGGTGTCGAAACCCGTTCCCCATGTAGCTGAGCCTTGTATGTTTGGTTGCCTTCAAAATGCACAGCAACCACCCTCGGATGGCGCCCACGCCCCAACTCCCCGCCCCTGCGCACGGCGGGGTTCGCACCTGCAGCGTGTCCCACATGATCTCGTCGATGGAGTTGCGCACCAGCAGGAAGTGGATGTTGACCGAGGTGTGCTGCCCGATGCGGTGGCAGCGGTCTTCCGCCTGCTGGATTTCTCCAGGGACCCAGCTCAGCTCTGTTAGGGTTTTGCACGAAGTTGGCGGGATCGGCGTAGTTGGAGTAGGAAGCCTTCAATGGGGAGGATGCCTTCCAATGGCACCGCTTATTGTACCTGTTTAGCCCTTCCCGCTGCCACGACACGGCCGTCACATGCAGCTCCAGAACTGAAGTGCGGATCACCTACCGGCAAACACGACCAGACTGGAGGCAGTCATGGTGAGTCCCACTCCCGCGGCTTGGATGCTCAGGATGGCGATCTGGAAGGGCGGTGGGAACACGGTCAAGGAGCCACGACCTGCAATGCAAGCTACTGCTAGCGTGCATGGGGATGGACAGGAGCATTGTTCGGCCCAGTTTTGCTGATGGTGGCACCCCGACCCGGCATGTCTAGGCACGCAGACGCACCTTGACGTCTGCATCCTCCTGAAAGCGCTTCACCTGCTCCGCGCGGTCCAGCGCGGATGTCTTGCCGTCAATGCGGATGTAGCGGGCCTTGCTGGATTTGGCCTGAGGCACAACGCAGTGAGAGATGCTTGCGTTTGGAGTACCCCAGAGCCAAGCCCGTAGACCTCCTCATTGTAGCACATTTGTCCTTGCGCCGCATGCCACCGCTGTTGCCTTTCTGCCCCACCCCCTGCCCCGTCCCTACCTGCGCCTCCACCGCGTCCAGCAACACCTGGTGGTGCGCGAAGAGGAGGAACTTGGCGCCATCCGCCTCCAGCAGGTCGGCACAGTACTCCGCCACCGCAGCCGCCTTGAGCGCAGCCGTCTCGCGGTACAGCCGCATGATGGTGCTCTGCTGCTCCATGAAGGCGCCTGCGAGCGAGGGAGGGTGGCAGAGGAGGTGGTGTCATCAGGTATGTCGTAGCTGTGGGCCGTGGCTTGCCAGGGTGCATGACACCATGCGGACCGAGCTGATAGCAGTCACCTACAAGCATACATCACTACATGTACAAGCCTGCAACCAAGGCAACCACTCACGCCACCAGCCATGTCAGTATGCCTGTCCGGCACCTCCGCCCCAAACACCCGTCCGCCTCACTTCGCATGCCGGTCCCTCCGTGGCCCCCTGCACCCATCATGGCCTCCGCCACCGCCCGGATGCCCTCCAGCTCGCGGCCCAGCTCCGAAACCTTGCGCATGTCCTTCTCGGGCAGCCGGATAAAGATCTGGGGGCGTGAAAGAGGCGGTGATGGCAGGGGCGCACTGACAGGATGCTGAGATCCTGAGCAAGACTTAAAAAGGACGCGGCCTTTATCTTACTTCCGACCCGCCCCTCTATACGTCCTCGTCCAAGCCCATGCGTTGGCATGTTCCCACCTGCTGTCGGCGCTTAGGCGGGAGATGCTTGAGCACATCGCGTTTGAGGCGGCGCACCATCACAGTGCCCTGCAGCAGCTTGTTCAGCTCCCCTTCGTTGCGCGCCCCGAAGAACTTTCCCGGGTACCTGTCCGGAAGGCGCGGAGAGGCAGAACAACCACGCAGTGGGGTTAACGCAAGCGTGACAATCAAAATATAGAACGGACTAACCTCCGCAACCCCCCTCCCTGCTGTGCTGCCCAGACCAATCCCGCCGCTCCGCACCCCACGCACCTCTTATCCGGTATGCAGTACCGCTCCCCAAAGTCCGCTGCCTTGATGTCCGCTGAGGGCATCAGCCCCTGCAGCAGCGGCACCAGCTCCACCGGCTTGGACAGCGCCGGGGTGCCGGTCAGCAGCACGGCGCGGCGAGCCTCCTTGATGAAGGGCAGCGCCACCTGCGTGCGTTGGGCCTGCGGGGGAGCCGTTGCCGGGGAAGCCGTTGAGGGTCACCCGCAGGCCCGCCGTTGAAGGTCAGGGTTAGGACCGGGGAAAGTCGAGATTGGAACGAGGTGACCACAGGAAGGAAGGATAAGCAGCAGAGCAGTGTAGGAGGTGGGGCTGACAAGCGTTCACGGTAACAGCATCTAGACCACGTGCTTAGGAAAGAATGGAGTCACACGGCCCGCCCGACTAGGAATGGGCAACTCGCACCTTGCCATTCTTGATGTAGTGCGCCTGATACCGCCGGCACCGTCGACAGCATGAGGTGGACGAGATGAGGAAAGCACGGTTATGTCCTTCACACGTAAGCCGGTTGGAGGTCAAGGCAAGCCACCAGGCTAGTTAGGGACGCCAACCAAGCTGCTGACGGTTTCATGACACGAAACGCAGGGCTGAGCGGCCTCCTTACAATGCACGGCGCTCTTCAGCGCAAGCACCACCTACCGCAATCAAACCCGGCCTTGTCTTCTCGTGTGTTCCCGACCCCTACCTCATCCAGTACGACCATACGCGGCTTCAGCGCCTTGAGCTTGTCCGCTGTGCGCAGCAGTTGGTCGTAGCTGACGACCACCACCCGCGGCCGGGCAGCAGCGGCGCGCCCGCGCAGCTGTGCATGCATGCACGAGGGCGGGGTTGAGTGTGTACTGGTATGAGTGGGTACTGGTGTACGGCATCATGTGCATGTGAGGAATGGCTAAGTCACCAAAGCGCCGGAAGCCCAAGCTGGCCACAAAGGGCACACCAAGCACAGTGCACACCTCCCATCGCAGTTCCCACCTCCTCGGCATCCTTGGCGTTGCTAACGACGGCCACGTCCTTGTCCGTCAGCTTGAGCCACTGTAGGGGCGGGCGCAGGCCGAGGAGCAGGAACCCAGGTCATACAGGATGTGCAATGCAGGCGTATGGGATATCCTACGATTGCATGCCACCCCTCGGCTCAATGTGGTTACCAAGCCACTTCCGTACGCTCAATGCAAGGACAGGGGTAGTGAGCAAGGCCGTCCTTTCCTGGGAACCCAAACCCTAAATGTGTGACCACTTCTGCCCTGCGCCCGCCTCCCCCCACGCACCCACCGCGAAGAGTGCATCTGCCCAGGTCTCCCGGAGCGACTTGGGCACCACCACCAGCGCAGGGCACTCGTCGGAGTAGCACCGGAGCAAGCAGCATGCCTGCAGGGAGGTGGGCAGGGTGGCTTGTCCGCATAAAACGCACATGGGAGGAGGGCCATGCACGGGCTGCAACTACTCGGCTGCAGTGGCAATGCCATTAGCACAGGGCGCTTAACACGGAGCCGCCATGGGCGAACAAGGCCAGGCGACGTGGCCGAGTCAAGATCCCCACCTGCACGGTCTTGCCCAGCCCCATCTCATCGCCGATGAGCACCCGACCGCCCAGCCGCAGCGCATGCCTGCAAGGTAAGGTCAATGCCGTGCGCATTAGGATGGTGGAAAGATAGGGTTGTAAGGGTACGGTATTAGCCGTGCGGGATACATCATGGAACTGGCCTCTGACAATCTACCCTCAAGATAGCTTTCCAAGGCCTCCCCAACACACCTGACACCGTCGCGCTGGAAAGGCATCATCCTCTCATCCAGCGACTGGTCGTGCTCGTGGGACCGCACCATGAGCTTGTCGTACAACCGCTCGTCGTTGGAGCGGGAGGCAGCCGCTTGCAACATACGGCAAACAAAGGCCGGAAAGGTCTGCATGCAAATGCAAGGGACCGGTAAGACTTAACGCAAAAAACATGCATGGGGTATGATTAGGCGGGTCGCCTGCTTGCAATAGCTTCCACCATTTATCGCAACACAGCATATGTCGGATGCCAACATCCCCTCCCTTCCCGACAGCTTGCATGCGCGACACACCTCCTGCAGTGTGACCTCAACGCCGCGTGTCCGCAGCCGTCCGTCTGTCAGCGCACTCATGACGTGGTTGTACTGCGACAGCGGGAAGGTCCAGCCCTTGCTGGTGCCGTCGTACGGCGACGCGTCCGTGATGAGGCTGAAGACCGCCTTCAGGGCGTCATGGTAGCCCACCTGCGCAGTGAGGACGTCACATCCCACATGAGCACAAGCCTTGGCTTGCAGGGTTACGTCTATAGAAGTGTGCCCGGGCGAGACACCTTCCCCCTCTATGATGCAGAGGGAATGGCGATAGAAAGGTGCCTTTTACCTTTCACTTGTTACTACAACAAGGACCGACCTTGACTAGAAAGCGGCGATTCTCCTCCAGAAGAAGCATAGCGGAGCAACTGACAGGCCGCATGCTGGCCGGGCGGCCCTGGACGGGAGCTGGCTTCGCCGGAATGGGTGGCTGTTGCTGCTGGTGCGGTGGCCGCTGTTCAGGCTGTCCTTGCTGGTTGGAATGCATTTGTTGCTGCGGGTGTTGCTGCGGGTGCGGTGGGTAGGCGGCCGGTTGGTGCTGTGCTTGCGGCTGCTGCTGATTTGCCAAATGCGGAGTATCGCGAGGATGCTGCTGCTGCTGGTGCGCCTGAACTGGATTTGGAGGCTGTTGCTGCTGCGTGTGCTGCATTTGCTGCTGCGGGTGTGGCGGAGGACGCTGCATGGCTTGCTGGGGATGTTGGAGGGGTAGCTGGTGGTTTGCTCGTTGCGGCTGGCCAGCCTGTGTCACTGACTGCGCTGGCGCCTGTGGATGCGGCAACCACTGCGGCTGCGGGTCTCGCTGCAGGCTTGGGTAGGGCTGTTGCGGCTGTTGCATGCGTGCTTGCGGCCCTTGTTGCTGGGGAAGCTGTTGATGCTGGTGCAAAGGCTGCTGCTGCCAATGCGCCTCCGAGGCTGCTTGAGGCGACGGCTGCTTTAGCTGTGGTGGCGGCTGTTGGGGCTGCGGCGGCATTAGACAATGGGGCTCGCCGTTAACATGCGGCGACGGCTGCCTTGGCTGCTGCCGGTGCGGCTGAGGGTACTGCTGTTGGGGCTGCTGGCCATGCGGATGGAGTTGGTGCTGCACCTCGCTGCTAACTTGCGGCGACGGCCCCCGTTGCTGTGGGTTTGGTTGCTGCTGCTGGGGTTGTGGCTGCTGAGGAGGCAGCGGGCGATGCTGCTCAGTTGCTATCTGCGGCGACGGGCCCCGCTGCTGTGGGTTTGGTTGCTGCTGCTGGGGTAGCGACTGCTGAGGAGGCAGCGGGCCATGCGCCTCAGGCGGCAGCAGCGGCGCAGGGTGCTGGTGGTTCGCGTGAGGGTGCTGCTGTTGGGGTTGCGGCTGCTGCTGGGGCTGCTGCCCCTGAGGGTGTGACGGATGGTGTGCATTAGGTTGCTGCCCCTGCGGGGGTTGCAGCTGCGGGTGCAGCTCAGTGTTTACCTGTGGTGACGGCTGCCTCTGCTGCTGATGGTATGGCGGAGGGCGCTGCTGATGCGGGTGCAATTGCTGTTGCTGCTGCATCTGCCGATCGGGGTGCCCTTGCGGTGGCGGCGGTTGCAGCGGATGGTGTGGCCGCTGCACGTGCTGCTGTTGCTGCAGGTCTACGTGTGGTGGTCTAAGGTCCTGTGGTTGTGCCTTTGGCGGAGATTGCCTAGGCTGCGGTGCAGGCTGCTGCATGTGCTGTGGCTGCGCATGCTGCTGCTGTAGATGGTGCGGATGATGCTGGGCTTGTGCCTGTAGCTGAGGCGACGGGTTTGGTGGTTGCGCCTGAGGCTGTCTTGGCTGCGGCTGTGGCGGTTGCTGCTGTAGGAGCGGCCGCTGCAACTGTTGGGGCGCCGCAAGGTGTTGCTGTGCTTGCGGCTGCTGCCTTGCCTCTGGCTGCTGCTGCGGGTGTGAGTGCGGAGGCTGTGGTGGATGCGTGCGGAGCTCGACCTCTGCAACGCTCCCATCCGCAGCTGGGTTCTGCACATGTCCCTGTCGGCAGGCCGGAGTTAGTTGACGTTGATGTGGCAGCTGTGGTGGCTGGCGGTAGGGAAGCTGCTGCGGATGCTGGGCTTGTGCAGGGGGCCCAGCCGCGCCGCCCGCCTGATATGTCACGGTTCCGTCCTGAATGCCGCTCCCTGCGCCGTGGTGCAGCTGTGGTGCGCTAGGCCGCTGCGCTGGATCTACGCGCACTGTTACGTTGAATTGGAGCTGCTGCAGGGGCCTCATTGTCGCTGATTGTTGTGCTGGTGGAACACACCGAGGACGACAGCCGACGTCACCTCCCTTGTGCGCTAAACCAGCAGTAGAAACTGCCCCTGGTTGCGCGTTGTTGGGGGCTCCAGGATAGGTAGGCGGCCCAATACCAGACGCGCGGCCCTGCCATTCGTTCTGATGCTGCTGCGCCCCTTGGCGGTTGATGGGTTGAGCGAGGCTGTTTTGGCCATGGTTGCCCCAATTGGGATCACCCCGATTTCCACAATCACCAGTAGCGGGTTGGCTCGTGTCGGCAACTTCCTGGCCACGAAAAGCACCTGGTTGACCACGCCCTGACACTTCTTGCGCCGGCTGGCCGTTGCGGCCCGAGATTGCCGCCGTTTGGACTGCAGGCTGGACCCCTGTTGAACCCTGCAAGGGCGGACAACGCGTACGCGCTGGGTTATCGTTAAGGGAAAGGTAACATATGCACCACATAGCCGAAGAAGGTGTGCAGCAAAAGGTAAATAGTTGATCAAGGGCATCTCAAGTGAAACACCTGGCCATGCTGCCCATCCGGGTGTGTCGATGCACAAGCCTAAGCATAGCACCCCATGCGCAGCGCCGACCTGATGCTTTTTAACTAAGGAGTCGATAAAGTCCAAGTCGTAGTCACAGAAATCTGCATCATCGTCGTCAGCCATGGCAACTTGTCCGATGCTCAGGATGTTGCCCTTTCCCGCTTAGGTATCCCGACCTTTCGATCACGATGTATATTGCGTTACTCAAAGGCGCAACAAGTGTCGTCCATTACATGGAAAGTATGCACGCCAAAATGATAACCTCTTCGATGTCTGGAGAAGATATAAATACAAGGTTGGCAAGCGCTTTCAGATAATATCAAAAAGGATTGACGAGTTCCTCGGCAAACAGCTGTGTCCCCATGATCCAGCGTTTTGGATCCAAAAACGTTGAGTTGCTGGTTCGCCTAAAAGCAGGCTCTCAGGAGCTCCGGTCCCCCTTGTAACTTTCGCATTCTAAAAGCAGCCGTGTGTAACTGTAGTCCGTCTGAAAGAAAGGGTCTTATGAAATGGCAGTGGGATGTCTTGCAACTCAGTACAGGTGGTACTTTGGCCTCGGCTTACCGGGAGCAAGCCATGGATACCATGAAGGGCGAAGCCATCGCCCATTGTGAATCCTAATTCACTTCAAGAGCGCGATTTGCAAGGAAATAGTCTATCTTTGTGTTCGTGTTACTCATTAACGCACCCAGCGGCAAGCGAAGAGAGGCATGAGGGCTTCGTCACGATAGCAAAGCAAAAGCGGCATGAGGGTAGCGGGAATAGCAGCTAGGAGGCGCGACACTGCGCGGCCCCAGGGTGTTGGCCTGAATGCGACGCACGTGCCGAGCTTAGCACTCTACTCCACAGCGCGTACGCTTGCGCCTTGCGGCCGTAGGTCCCAACAACCGGACTGCACCTGACCTGGCTCAAGCGAACCCCTGAAAGGAGCAGGTTACAAAGGGTTGCTAGGATTCAAGTTAGAAAATTTCCTAAGGGTTACAAACATCTGGGGCAAGCCCTACCACATATCTGCCACAGAATGAACACCATCGAACGCAGGAAGCTGACGCTCGCGCATACCCGTAGACACTCACGGGAATGAACACAGACTACCGTATGCCACTACCAAAGGGCTCCATGTTAAGAATTGTAGCTGTTAGAAACCAAGCCAAGGAAACCGAGAAATTACTTGACAATTGTACAACGACTGTCACACACAGGTGCAATAGTGTGTGTCCATAGGCCCTAGCTATCTCTCACCGGTAGCATCACGGCAAGCACGATGAGAAGCACCATCGCAGTACACACGCCATCCCGGGGTCGTGCCAGGGTACACTAGATGGCTGTGTTCAGAGAAAGAGAGGGCATACAAAAGCAAGAATATAGGGCTACGCACGCCTAAAGGGCATATATACACGTTAGCGTACACACTTGCTCAGTGCTGATCATAATTACCTAAGCTATACATCACAGTTTCCAGTCCAGCGCATTAGCAGGCCTGCCAAGTTCAATGCAAGGATACCTACAAGGGCCAAACCGACAGCAATGAGGCCCGTGAACAAATTGCCATCCCACAATAGTCTAACCTGACACCTCCAGCCGCGTCAATATATTTACGCCCCAAAGCAAACCTTCGAAACGCTTATGAATCAGAAGCATGGGCGGCCAACCGAAGGGCATAAGTCACTATATGGTATGTAAGACATAACCTACTTAACAGCCATGCTTTAGTAGCTAACAGCAGAACCGCTAGCGTTGCTTTCGCTGTGGAACGTCCGGGGGACAACCCCAATCCCGCTGCTCAGATCACCACCGCGGTCCGTCCCATTATCTTTAATGCCCGCAACTTCACCACCCGCGCTCTTTGCAATTTCACTTTTCTTTGCCGTCGCCGCCGTGCTGAGCTGTTTTAAGACGGCGCGCACGTACCCCCGCACGTCCATGTCCGTGTCAGGAACGTGGCTGAGCATGCCTGACTGGCGCCGTGCCTCCTCCCTGACACGCGCCATGTGCGGCTGCAGCATGAAGACTATGTACGACAGAACCAACAGCACCGTCGCCACCAGGAGGATCTGCGGCAGAAAGCCAGGCAGGGACAGCATGGATGACTGAAGGTTTATATGCCCCACGACGCAAGTTGCGCGCAGGCGTCCAGTATGCAGGTAAGACCCATGGGTCTCTTTTGACATAGTATCCCAGCTCCTTGCATTTCCTGCATTCGGCTACGTTACGTTCCAGTGTGGGAGCACATTGCCTAATCAACAACATGCTGCTCAGCATCAGGACATACCGTATGGAAGTTTTGAACGGACTCGTAGCGGCTGATGCTGTAGTCCACGAACAAGCCAGCCGCCTGCTGCAACCCCTCGTACAGGTCATGCCGGCCCACAACCGCCATGTAGTCGGACCGGGAGCTGTCATACGCCAGGTCCCCTGGGTCGTCTGCCGTCATCAGCTCCAGCTCCGTTATGGCGCGGCGCATCATGGCGTCCAACCCGTTGTGGGTTACCTGGAGGTAGAAGCACACGTTGCGGGCAAGTGGGGATCACCATCTGGTATGGTGCTTTGGGACGTCTTGGGACGTAGGGACCGCACAGCTTGGCGACGCGAGGATTCCCTGACGAGTTGGATGGGGATCGGCCAGCCTGCCAGGCCAACAGACCGGAGCCTTGTCCTTAATTACCTCGTAGTAGGGGCTGTCAACCGGAAGGCATTGCGTCTTGTCGAAACGCTGGCAGCCCTTAGCACGGAAAAAGGTCCGTGCGAAGCTTGCGGACTCGAATGCGCTGGCAGGCACGGGGTGGCGAAACACACTGTTCGCCTGCAAGGCAAGATAACGGTAGTGTTTTTGTGCATGATGTGAATACGAAACGGCCCATGGCCACGACAGCGGCCGCTCGTTACCTGCGTACTTGCCAGACCGCCGTACATCAAGGCGTCATACTCGCTCTGTAAGTTCTTCACCTCCATCAGTGTCAACATCTGAAAGTCGGGGCAGAAAAGGAGGTACCGGTATCACCCTAAATAAGACTTCATGTAATGAGCAAAGCAATTGTCACACACTCGTAGGCCCAACTATTCATCTCCCGCTCCTTCACAGTCATCATGACCCCTTCCCGTGCACCTGTAAGGCAGGGCGCGCGTGTATGTCCAGCGTGACCATAGCGAAGGCAATGCCTGACACTCGGGTGTACCGGTAGACGACGTGGCAGGCCATGTTGAGCGACGCCAAGGGGCCCTGCGCAGCGACACAGCAAGTCAGACAACCGCCGCCGTCACCCATCGCAGTGCAGACCCTAAGCTTACCTGCATGTCCTGCAGCTTGTACAGAGTAACACCGTACACTGTCACGAGTGCAATGTTCCAAGCCAGGAACGGAACCTGCGAGCAATTCAGCATCGGATGAAAGCCTTGCACAGGCCCTACGTGCAGCTTGTCCTCCGAATACACGGTTGTGACATTACATGGGATAGCAGGTTGCATCGCACTAACCATAAAGCGAGCGACATTCCACATAGTTGGGATCAGCCGCTTGCCGTTGACTACCAGATCAGACCGCTCAGCACTCCGGCCTTTAGCAACGCTCTGCTGGTCGGTGCTCTTTTGGCGGGTGCTGCCCTCGCCGTCGTCCTGCAACATGTGGCAAGGCCCAGTTGTGAAGGGGCATCCTAACAACCTGAAGATCCAGGATCCAGATCAACACATACTGGAATTAAGAGTTACTCTTTGAGAGCATGTAACCATCATGCACGTCGAGAAGGCATCCCCTTACCTTGGGCACCTCGGCAACACCCAGCTTGCTGCGGTCATCCATGTCCGTATCCTTGTCCTGGTTCCCGGTAATAGTTGAATTGTCAGCAGGTTCCTGCCAATCCAGCCGCTTACCAACGCTCCTGTGCCTCAGGTAGCCGTGCTTGCTCTCTGGACGCTGTTGCTGCTGTTGCTGCTGGTCCGCGTGGTCCACGCCAGCATTGCCATCGTCTTCCTCTTCGTCCTCGTCCCTTATGATCTGCATGTGCGCAAAAGGTGGTAAGCAAATGATCCCCAATAGTGTGTGCTCTCGCTTTGGCGACTCGTCGGGCCTATTGAGCCGAACTCACTTCATCACAATTGGCAGCTGTCATCTTCCGCAGGACCGGTCCCGGGAGGCCCAGCATCGCTGCCAGCCCCACCAGGCGCGCCCTCTCCAGGCGTTTCACGAGCGACCATTGATAGGTCAAGCAGCAGAGCTGGGGGAAAAGTATTGTGGCGCGGTTCCACAGCAAGTTATGGGCGTAGGGAGTACCAGCCCAACATTAGCCCTCCCCTTATTATGGCAGTACTAACCGGCCCAGAACTAAATATCGGTAGTCGGAAACATACATTTCACGCTTTAAGCATGGCCCTCTGGCTGGTAATGTCATCACCCCATGTACCACACACCTGGACTACAAGCGCTTCCACCACGAAAAGTGCAATCAGGGCTGCATGTCATAAGAGGAAAGGGTAGTAAGTGTACTGCCGTACGCTAAGCAATGGAATTAGAAGACTCTTTAGCTGGATATTGTTCCCCAACGACCCTTGGGTCAGCACATGTCGCTATCCTGCCTGCTCAACCGTTTTTGCCTCCAAACGTGAGCCGTGCACGCCGAACAGAGAATTGCCGGTTTGTTGATTTTAACCAGACGTAGGCACATGGAAGGCGGGGACATGCCACGCACCAGTTCGGAGCTTGGTGAGCGATGTCCACGTGGCATTGACCAAGTAGTCAAGTGCAACGGCGCCGCTGTCAAAGAGGGGCCCCGCGGCGCTGCCAAGGATGAACCCGAACGTACGATGCCCCCTGTATTATGGCAATGCCCAGGGAGACGTAAGTGCAAACACGAGATTGCAGCAGCTTCCCTGGAGCCCCACCTATCGAGGCTGCCGTGCAAGTACGGCTAAAGGATTTAGCAAGTATTGCACCATGCTATTGGTATAAGCCTTTGCGTGATGGTAGCATCTGGAATAATCCCACCACATCTGCTCACATGTATCCAGGCCCAAGCACAGGAAGCCAGTACAACGCCTCACGTGCCGCGGCAATGAAGCGGTTTACGTATTGCCACACGCCAGTGGAGACCGAAGGGGCGTGGTCTCCAGGTCCGGAGCCGTCCATGTTAATTGTGTAGTTGACGGTTGGATATGTGAAGTACTCGTAGGAGCGGGTGTCCTTGAGCTTCTCGATTTTAGATATGCCCAGGTACACCGCCTGCAAAGCACCGGGATGCGGGTGGACTCGCAGAGCAGAGGCCAGAGGGAGCTAGGTCTGCGGGACGGGCTAGATCATGCTACTAGCACCGTGCTATATATACCCCCGCGTGCTGACACGACCCGCTAACATCGGTACGGCGTGCGCCGTGCCACGGGGCTATCGCGCCGGTCGGTTGACCTGTACGTCACACGCTCACACCTTGCACTGTCCCTTACCTGGTGGTACGCCTCGAGCTCGTCCACGTTTGAGCGGAGAAGTGCCATAGTGCTGTCAAGTGGCAGGGAGCAGCCGGACACGTTCTTGATCCCAGGGATGGCGCAGAAGGATGCCTGCGATAAATAGGCAGCGGATTGGGCAAGGCATAGGAAGGGAGTTTAGCGTATACTGGTTGGAAACCACCATCGTTTCACTTGAACTGATAGCGAGCCCTACCTCAATGACACGGTTGAGGATTAGCTGGCCTCGGTCCATGGCAAACGCCTGATCCCGTACGAGGTAGATGTTCCTGCACAATCGGAGCAAAACATCTTGAAAGTTCTAGTGGTTGGCCCATGCAAGGTGCAGTGCACGGCATGGCAATCAATGACCATGGAAGCGGGTGTCATTGGATGCTGACACGTACACCAAACTGCGACCACTTACGCATGTTCCTTCGCGACGAGTCCTTTGAAGAACACGTAGCACGCAATGTGAGCTACCTGCATGGATGACGAGACAGTCAATAATCAGCTGTACGATAGGTGCCTCGGCCTAGTATGTCCTACTAGCCAATGTACGACAAAACTACGCCCCAATCTGCGTCTCATGACAGAAAAGCCCCATTAGAAAGCCCACCAGCATGACAGCCAGCAGCCCAAGCGTATGCATTTGCATGCGGGTGAGGGGCTCCGCCAACACCGGCCCCAGCAGTGTGCGGTGGAGTGCCTTCAGCAGCCGCTCGCGCCGCACGTCTACAACCAGCTCCTCGTCCGCTGTGGTGGCGGCGGTGGCACTGCTGGCGCCTGCATGGACCAGGAAACAGGTGCGAGGAGCTCGTATTATGGACGTAGGGCACTCACGTGCAACAAGAAAAGACAATATGCGCAAGCATAGGCAGCGGGGAGACAAGCATGCATGGCAGAGTGCAAACCTGCTCGTACCTCCAATGCTAGCCGACGCCTGACTCGCGCTTCCGTTGCTTGACGCGTCGTCCATACCCGCATCACGGTTTTTGCCGGGTTTGCATACCTCCTCATCGTCATCCGCCTCTACCTCGCTCCTCTTTGCAGCCTTTCGGGCGCCCTTGCTAGGCTCCGGGGGCTTGCAGGGTGCTGCTGGGCTCTCCGGTCTGTCCACAACCTGCGGGGTTATGTCAGAAGGGTCCACCCTCTCGTCCTCCCCGGCAGGTACCGTTGGCAACCCCGGTATTCCCTGGGGAGCTGCCGTCGCCTGCCGGGACACGGTGTGCACCCACTGTTCCACAAATTCACTACTGCGGCCGCCACGGCTGTACAGCCCACGATCCTCGGGCGGCTGAGGGCCGGGGCCGTCATCACTGTCGCTGTCGTCATCATCGCTGTCGTCGTCGCTGCCGCTTTTGATGCCGTCCCCCAACTGAGAAGCGTGGTGATCAACGTCAAACGCCACTGCGCCCTTGCCAGCCTCGGCGGAATGATCCGTTGCACGTCGGAGAGCGGATCGCTGTGGCATGAGTGCCGAGGGCTTATGCGGCCCTACGTCACCGGACTGCCCCGCTACCTCTGCTCGCTTCCCATCGCCACCACCAGCGGCTGTATGGGCACCAGCGGCGGCATCGCCCTCCCCACTGCCATGATGGGCTGCCGCCAGCGCCGCCTCCATGTGGAGCGCTTTGATCAGGTCAACATGCGCGCCCTTGAACGCCGTGTCAGGATGGAACGTGACCTGCACCTTAGCCGCGCCGTTGGGGCCCTCCACCTGCACGCCCTGCACGAAGATCCGCATGGTGCCGCCGTCCGGGTGGGAGCCTGTGAAGGCGCGCTGCGCGCTGATGCTGATGGCGGGCCGCACAGAGCCGGTGCCGTCGGGATTGGCCTTGTGGCCTTTAAGAGCGCCGCGCTTGGCCCTATGGCCCTCCTTGCCCATTAACTCCTCCCAGGTGAGCGCTCCAAAGGGCAGGTCCAGTACACTGCGCCCAAGAAGAGGCTTCATGGTAAGCTGTAAAACGGTTACATGGCTGGCGACGGGCCTCTAACTTCACACTGCTCACGCATACCGTACCGTGTACCCCATGACCCCTGTTTTCCAGGTTCCTACCAGTCCCAGTCCACCGTATCCCACTGACACGCGTACAAAACCCAAGGTAAGCCCGGCTCACTCGTGCAAGCTCTGTCGCGCTAGCACCGTGGGCGACACGCCCAAAATGAGCCCAGTCTGCACGTCTGCCCGGCGGATATTAAGCTGCGAGTCAAGCTCCAGCAGCCCCGTCAGCAGGTCCCGACGCCACAAAACAAGACGGATGGCGGAGCCCTCAATAACGCCGCCACCTGCTTTGCCCTCAGACCCCTCATGGCCGCTATCATCCAGCTCCACCTGCGGTGGAGGGTGAAGGAAGCAGCGCAAGCCTGGTTACGACGCTCCAGAGCTTACTGCTGAACATGGGTGCATGGGTAGTGCCTATCAGGAGGGTATATACGAGCGCATGGGCATTCCGTATCTTTTATTGCCGTTCACCTGCATGCACGCCATGACGCGCGCAGTCTTGACGGCATGCATGAACTCCGCGGGTGCTGCCCCCTTGATGGCTGGAAGCGGCACCACACTGCTGGCGTGATGGTCGCCGTCATCAGGTGGCTGGTTAACACCCACCCTCCAGGAAGCACCTGCAGCAGGTTAGGTGTGGCCAGATTTACCAGGCGACATCTTACAAAATTTTCTTTAAGAATCCAGTCCCAAGCAGTAATGGCTAATGCTTGCATCCTTTCGTCGCCCTGTGCCTTCAAGCATGCCTTACCAGGCATCCGTTGTTCCCAGTCGAGAAGCGCCAACAGCAGCATCTACCATCAGGACATGGCAAGAGGGAAAGGGGGCTTAAGAAATGTATTGAGGCGCCGGGCAGCACGCGCCTGGCTTTGAGCCAAAGGGGAAACTTGCGAGCGCCCCATGTATGGGGAGCATTTACGAGAACTGGCAGCCCCCTGTCTCAAGCCCTGCCCACGACCTGCAAGCTGCCGTCACCGTTCTTGTTGCGCCAATCAGTGAAGACGTCAATGAAGTCGCAGACGCTTGCACCCGCCATACAGGCTGCACGAAAGCCGAAGAGCGCAGTCGTGGGGCTGGAGACGGCCACCACACGGCCGCTGAAGTCGATGGTGATGACCGTGCACTTCTCCTCGAGGAACTCCTTTGGCCCCGCCTTTGTAACCTGACAATTAAGTTAAGGGTGACGTGATGTTGGAAAGAAAGTCAATGGATAACGCATGTTGCTACGGGCGAACGCGGTTACAGGTCCGGTGCAATCCAAAGTCGGGTCTACAGGCGACATGCGCCGTTTCACCAGCAGGGTGCAGCGCCCCTCTTAAGCATGGTCGTGGGGCTGCCCCAAACGGAACAGGGCAGGATCCCGCCACACACCTTGACGACATGTTGTACTGCTCCACGGGACGTCTCACGGCCGTTTACTTCAATGCGCACCGGCACCTGGGCCCCTGCGGAGCTCAGCATGTGGACCACCACTCCCGAACGGCAGCCGAAGGCCGGAGGGGCTGGGTGCATGTTCTGCAGATGGGGGTCGGGAAAAAAAGAATGGCCACGGCACGGCCGCACGGCAAGGTCAGGAAGGAGAGGAATAGGGGATACGGAGTTGCGGCGCAAGTTGGCCGGTATGGACGCTGGCATCTTAGCAGGTAGCTGCGCCGCAAGGCCTGCATTTCTGCGGTTACTGCTATTCCAAAGCGTCTCTGCACGTGCCGCAACATGCAGCTCTGGGCGCAACTTACCCTCCCCCATCTCGTGTGCAGCGTGCTGAAGGGCGGCGGCAGCAAGTCCTCGAGTCGCATGCTCTCCAGTTCTGTCAGCGAGTATCCCAGCAGGATGCCCACATCCCATGTTGCAAACTTGACCCGCAGCTGGCCGTCGGTGACCAGCATGGTGCCCGCCTTGCCGTCCAACCGCCGCATGCAGAAGACCAGGATACGCTGTGCGTCGGAGCCTGCGCACATCGGTGGAAAGGAGGTTGGGGAATGAGGATGTAGGGTTTCGATGGAAGGGCATCACAAGCCTTGCATGGCGTTATCTCATGATACCGGTAGAGGCTATCAAAGGCGCTAAACGACGGGCCAAATATGCTGGTCGTTTGCATGTGCCGTTCCAACAGTCCGTCCAACAAAGCCGTCATTCAGCCAAGAAAACCCACCTGCCAGCCTGACTGTAACCTCGACGTTAACGGGCTCTGAGTACTCATGGACGATCGAGAACGCCGCGGTGATGGACCCCGCGCGTGTCACCTCAGCGGTAGCATCGTGGCACCGCCGGAGGAATGCCTCCGCTGCAGCGCAGTCTGTCACCAGGCTTGGGAAACGGCGGCCAATCTGCGACCACAACAGCAGGTCCGTGATACTAGGCTCAGCATAATGGCTAGTACACCGGCATGTGAGGTCTATCAGATAGTCATAGATGCCCTATTTCCAATGGGGTACTCTCTCACGGGCTACACTTAATTGGCATAATCGGTCAGCACGTGATGTCGAGAAAACGCACCAGGAACGATTGCGGCACACCACACAGGGAACAGAACTGCTGGTCAGCCACCAGGACAGAGCCTCCGAGAGTGGTCCACACGCGCACATCCGTCACCGAGGGCGGCACGTGACGCAGCAGCCCCAGGAAAATGGCATCCCCACGGCCGCCTGATAGCTTGGTGACGCACATGTTGATCGGGAAGACGAAGTGATCCTGCATGCGGCAGCGTGCATGGCATGGCATGAAGGTGGCCAGGCCCAAGGGGAAGGTGGATTTAGGTTTCGACCGGGGAAAGTGATGCACCAGTTGCTCTAAAGGTGGTATTGTACGCTTTCGTATGATCTGCAGCGGCATGAGGCAGTGCATGGAAACGCGCTGCGCTCCACGCCAGCAGTTCCTGTCTCTGCATATACGTCACGAAAAGTGGGCACTGCACCCTTCTGGATTTCAACTCCATGCCCGCACCTTGTGCATCGCCACGACCTCCGCGACCTCATCCAAGATGTGCGCCTCTCCCGTGGCGGCGTAGCGCTGCAGGTAGCCGCTGTGGCGCTGGCTAAAGGGCGGCGGCATCAGCATGTTCACATTGGCACCCTCCAACTCCGCCTTCGTGTAGCCAAACATTCGAACGATGCCCTGCAGTCGTACAGCACCGTACGGTTAAGCACAGAGGGATAAGTACCCGGCAAAGAGCCTGCAGTAGCTGTCTGCAAGAGCATCCGTGATGTGCCCGCGCCTCATTGTTAGCTCAACCCCAGTCATGGCGCACCTCGTTTGCTACCATGATGATTCCCTCCGAGTTGATCACCTGCATAGCCAAGGCGTCAGGCACGGCATCAGTACCGGTACATTATTGGGCTCCCACTGGCATGAATCCTACTAGGTAGCAATCGTTAGGCCTATGGACTGTAAGCGGGAAAGCCTTGAAGAACCCTGCATGGCTGCTCCTTTCCACTTTCAGTACTTGGCCGCACGACCTCATCTTACCAGTACGGCGTCATCGCTGGTATCCATTGAAGTCAGGAACTTAGGCTTAGTCAGCGTACCGCCAAACGTCACATCAACGGACAGCAATGGGTCCCCGTCCCCGTGGCGTGCAGCCTCAGAGTACGCCCGTCCGGCCGCTGTCGCGTTGTCGCAGGCGTCCTCCAGGAACTTGCCGTAGCAACGCAGTAGCTTGCCGTTGGTGGGATAGCGCAGCAGGACGCTGCATGCAAGCATGAGAAGTCCCAGGCCACACAACATGTCGTCGTTAACGGGAACCCAAATCATTTGCCATCTGGGTCAGACGTAACGTTTTGCCCAGGTATGGGCGCTTGCGTCAAAAGAGCCGGTTCTGAAACACCACTGTGCCTTGCAAAGCCAACGCCAGGCAACGAATCGTCAAGTGCACTCACCGCCTGTAGACCTGGTGGGCCCGCTCTGTGGCCTCCTGCAGCTCCGCCATAGAGCTGTCCAGCTCCTTCACCCGCACTGCAGAGCGCATAAGCTGCTTCCAGAAGTCGCAGCGCATGATGATCACTTCGCGATGCACCCGCAATACAGCCCTGAAGCAGCAGCAGCCGTGGCGACGGCGTCAATAACCGGGAAGGATGTAGAGCTTATATGGGGTGGCGTTAGTACACGACCGCGATGAACCGCAAGGTCTGGAGCACCGATCAGTTGGTGGACACTCTTACCGGTAGTTTCTCTTGAACTCCACGTAAGCCTGCATGTCCATGCCGCCATCCTGGCTGTCCTTCAGGCGCTTCGAGCTCTCGTTCGTGCAAAACATCTGAGGAGGCAACGGCAGGGAACGGCAGCAGTGGGCAAGTAAACATCTTCCCGAAGACTAGAGACGCCGCGTTAAATGGCTACAATGTCGAACTCAAAACCTCATGTGCAACTATGTTGTCAACCCAAACGTCAAACCGAGCGTCCACCCCATCCCACCTGGTACCTCTCAACGACCGAGGGCGAGTACCTGGCCGCCATCTGCAGCTGCGTGCGGCTGGCCGGACCGTCCTTGCGGACAAACATCAAGAAGTTTGCATACAGAATGCGCAGAAGCGGCGAGGTGGGGTACAGGAGCATGCCGGCCTGCAATCAGGGTGAAGACGTAAGCTGAAAAGCGGCTGTGGAAAGCACCCAGTGCGCAGGTGGCCGGCAGCGCTCCGCTAGCACAGGAGGAGCAAAGTCTCAGCGGTACCCGGCGCCGTCAATGATGATACGGCACATACCTTGATGATGGTCTCGCCCAGCGTCGCGGCATCAGGGTCGACCTCGCCATCGATGTCCCAAACACGCATGACGCGCGCCATAAGCTCAACTTCTTCCGGCGAGTCAAATTTATGAACCTGCATGATGGCGACCCATGGGTCAGTAGTCATGGATACTGCACGAGAAAGCACGCAAAGCTGCGGAAGGACGTAGTATACGTAACGCTACCAGAAGGTACACGATTGTTAGCAGCGCTTGGCAGCAACGGGACTCCTAGTGGCCGAGAAGCGGCATAAGAGCTCACCTTGGCGAGGGCCGCGTTCTCTGGCAACGCGCGGAACTTGGCAACGCTGCGCATCTTATAGCGCATGTGGAGGTAGCTTAGCAGCATGCCGCCGATAACGATTGGAAAGATGCCCTCCAACAGCTTCTTGGTCGCCGCCGCGTGCATGTCCTCCGAATGATGGGAGCTAAAGCTGATGCCCGTGAAGAGTCCGCATGTGTAGACAATGCCCACCCACATGCCCACCCACACCACGTTGATGAACTTGTGGTAGAAGGGAATCTGCAGACGGGGAGACGGGCAGATGACGGCAAGGTGCTCATGTCCGCCCAGAGTGTAGGGAGGGCAGAGCGGGCGGAATGCAGAGCCGACGATTACCCAGCCTATAACACTACCCCGCACTGCCCCGCGGCCCTCGAAGCATGACGCCTGCCTTTTGCAAAGGCGGCCCTTACCCGCGAGGCCGAAAGCCTGTCCGTGAAGCCCCCTGCTTACCGCGCGCAAGTTCAGCCAGGTAATACCGATGGTTGCAACAAGCATTACTATAGACTGGGGCCGCGGCGCGAGGCCTAGGCACGTCGCGCATACGATGTACACAGCCTTAAGGCTCAAGATCTTTAACCGCGTGATCGCCGCCGGTGACGCCAGGTGGCTGCGGGACACGGGGTTCAGGTCGCACGACGCCACGACCATGAGCGCCGTCATCGCCATGAAGAGCACGGCCGTGGCGAGACCGACACACATGTGGATTAGATGCGGTGTTGCCAGGCAATCTGCAACGCAAGGGGAACAGCTATTAGGACAGCGCACTACATATCGTGAACGAAGGACGAAGAACACTACCATTGCATGTGCCTCATGGTCGGCACCTATGGCAAAACACGCTTGAACGAGTTGTACCCTATGTACGCATAGGTAACCGATATAAGAATGCAGCACGGGAACCGACCGACGGTTGTGAAGAACACGTGGTGATGGTCCTTAGAGAAGTTGCAGTCCGCAACGAAGATTAAGTAATCTGCAAGTATGCGCCGGAAAGGGGCGACGCTCAGTTTTGATCTAGTGTTTGTGTGCTAGCGAGTAGCCAACCTATAACCGGTCCACGGCGGCATGTCATAAACACCATCTGGGTTCTTCCCGCCAAGCCAACTCACCAAAGAAGGAAACGTAACAGATGCCAAACACCTGTGGGAGGCGCAGCGCAAGCACGACTTTAAGAAGCCTACGGCTAAGGCTACCGTAGTGGGGCACGACACGGCGTTGCTGCATGCTCCTTGCGCTTTCGAATTCCGCTTACCACATCGAAGATGACGTGGAGAGTCGCGGATGCGCGAAGCAGCCACTTTGACTGCTCCTGCTTGCGCATGGCTAAGGTCAGCAACACCAAACCTGCCGCCGACAGCAAAATTCCGACTATCATGATGTACAGTACGACAATGTACGCCTTGTAGCCGTAAATGACGGATATGGGCGACCGCCACACTGTCCACCGTATCGGCTGCCACAGCCTGCACGAGGAACACAGGAACATGAGGAGAGCAGCTCGGCCTACAGAGTGAAGCTGCTGACCCATCGACGACGTCCATCCATGTAAAGCATGAGAAGAAACGCCGCACCCTTAACGCCGTGCAATATGCTTACCAAATCCCTGATTGATAGTAAACAGCAATGCCAAGCTATGCATAAAGGGCCTCACCAGTAGTGCGTGTCAATCTTCCATACTCCGATGTGGGTCGGGTTAAATGCCACGACGAAGGATGTCTGCATGCATGTGGGTCATGTGTTGCTGGTGTCAGTCGTGTCAGTTGTTCAAGCATTCGTACCTAGATGCCCAGGGGAACATGTAAACGTGTCACGAAGCAACTTCAAAAATCTAGGCTGGCCGAGGATCAGACTCACCACTCCCTCAAGCAGGACCTTTAACAGTGTCACTTTCCAACCGCTGAAGCCTTGCTGCCGCACCAAAGTGTACATGCAGTTATATATCCCGTCACGAAACGACCTTTTCTGCTCCAGAAGGTCATCCTCTCCGCCATCGTCATGCGCGGACCTGCTAGAAGGGAAGCGGTTCAACGGCCGCGAGGCAACGTAAGTTGCTAAGTTGAGAGGGCTCTGAGGATCACCGAGTTGTAAGGGTTCCCAGGAAGCAGGATGGTGGCCTATCGCTTAAATTGGTAAACGAAACGTAGAACACAGCGATCTAGCAGGTAAAGCTTTGGCTGCCTGCATCGACCCCTAGCAGCAGCAGCTTGCTTGGAGTAACTTCTCGCAACTCAACTTACCTGTGACCTAGTATCTTTGCATCACTTCTGTGGCTGGCGCCCGTTCTCGACGTGAGTCCGGAGGCTAAACTGTCGGTCTCCACATCAGCCATTGGCGTCGGTCTGCACCCTGTACGCAGGTGCTGAAAAACCTATTAAAAGTAGCATGACATGTCGTTAATTATAACGCTCCAGCGAAAACTCCGTATGTTTGCCAGCCAGGCCGACAACAGCCAGCATCAAAAACAGCATGGACCGCCCTAAGAGACGAAACGTACCACGCCCTTATGCTGGATAGCTCATAGTAGGTTCTAGTTACAGTAAAAGAAACTCGGGCGTTTTCCTGACACATAAAACATGAGTCTTTGGAGCGAGACCATGCCAAACACCGCTGTATACTCTAGATGCTATTAAAAATGCCAAATAAAAGCAGCAAAAGCGTCTGCAAGGACGCGTGCCGTCACAGCAGAAAGGCCACTTACCGCCCATGCCGCAATGACTGGGTCATAACGGTTTGTTCGTTACGACCACGGGCGTCCGGTCATCGCATCCAAAAGCATGTGCGCTATGAAGTTCATAGCGGTGACCCTGTAGCTCAGCTTTTGCATTTTGCTTGGGCGATATTATGGTGCTCTCGCAGTATAGCGACAGTGAGCCATCCCATCAAGCAAAGTGTCGCTATTGTATAGGCTCTGGCAGGTCAAAGTCTTAATATGTCCCATTTACTGCCCTGAAGCTCAAATGTTATGGGCGGACTGCAGCCGACAGGAGGGCGAGGCCTACGCCCTCGCTTCCAGTGCAGTCATGTGTGCCAGATGAAGCATGAAATAAAGCGTGGATATTTCTCAACCTTGAATGCACAGCATTAATTCTGAATTGTAATGTATGACAGCTGCATGCATACCTTCAAGACATCAAGAACCGACGGTCTTCTACGCAGAATCTGACCAGCCCAGCAGCTGCGGCAACACGGCCTCCGCCAAGGAGCCAGTGAAGCCCAGCGGCAAGTCAATGTGGCCTCTGATGCCATGATGTGTGACAATGGGTACAGCAGACATCTCAACCAACGTCCATGGGGCGTAAACATAACCCACACAGATTATGTGTCACAGAGGGCGGTTGACCGTATACGCGCAACAGACTGCGGAACCATAGCTGCACTCGCTGGTAAGCAATGTATTGCATGCATACCAGCCCTTGCGTTAGGACATGGAATCACATTAGCATGTACTCCTAGCTAAACCAGGGTCCCAGCCACATACCCAGCCAGCTTTACCCGGCGCAATCGGCGCATTAGCACAGCATTCCGTCGCTGGCGAACGCTAGCAGGTCTTAAACAACAACCCTTGGTCACCGGCAAGGCTTGCTCAGCCCTCCTACGCTCCACGTTCCCAACCGCTCTTCAAGGATCACGCCAGTTGAGAACAGTAGATCACCTTGTATTACCCATAGCAACCTGCTCGGCACCCACATTACCGTTACAGCAGCTTGGTGGGTGGGGGGCTACTCCGGCATCACAAGCTGCACCTTGAGCACTCCACGAGTGGCCGCCAGTGCCAGCGCCTCCTCGCCGCGCTCCAGGGGCAGCTCGGCACTGATCATGTATCTCAACAGCTGCCGTACAGCCGCATCCCGCTCCATCAGGCCTAGCGCCACGTCGAAAGGGCCGCACCTAAGGGTCCGGAAAGAGACGCGGCATTTATTGGCTAGCGCAAAACGCATGGCAGGTTTGGGGCTGTGAGTCGCATGCGCCCAAGACGAGGGGCACTGTGAAGCTGTGGCAATGACCAGTAAAGGGTAGGTAGCAGGTGCGCGCGTATACCACATGCATGCCGGCGGGTGCTAGGTCGGAGGGTGCTAGGTCGGTGGGTGCTACGTCGGTGGGTGCTAGGTCGGCGGGTGCTAGGTCGAGCCAGCCCTCAACTCGTGTGCGCATGCGCACCTGCTTCCCACCAGGACCTTCTCGTTCACCACAATGTCATTGGCTATCTCAGCCCACAAGGGAGCGGCGCAGCAACTAGAAGCCGTGGCTGTCGCAGCGCCTTCTCCCTTTGCATGTTGTGTCGTACAGTTACCGTCCGCCGTCTGCAGCTTCTCTGCACCCTCCTCCGCCTGTTGCTGGTCCGACTGCTGCTGTGTGTGCTGGGTGGTGCTGACGGTGGACTTGAGCAGGATCGTCCCAAGAGGTCGACACAAGGCTAGGGCCGTGCGGATGCCCGCCGCTGAGCCTGCATGCGCAAACAACGGTAGGGAGAACAGCATCATTATAGAAGCTATCTGCATGCAGCCTAAATGTCCGGCGTGGAAGTCGGGAACCAGCGCACATGCACAGGTTGCTGAGCTTCTTTCGCAACTTGCATGACGTATCCTAGAAGACCGTAACAAAGCGGGACTGGCATGTTGACGGGCCGCATCGAGGCATCATCAAGCACTAGGGCGCACCAAACCGCTCGGACCCACCTGAGGCCTCCACCACCAGGTCGAATGAGCCCGCCAGTCGCTCCAGTAGCGGAGGAGAATCGCTGCCGTCCAAAACCACCTGGAGCGGCCAACAGAGACACAGCGGTATGGCCGGCGGAACTTCGGGGTACTATGAAAGTAGAATGGAAGGTGCTTGACTCAGCAGCTTCAACGATACTCCTTAGGCCGATACATTCATACGCACAGCTCAGCAACATGGTGTCGCCTTTTCTACCCCGTTTCGCTGCGATGGTGACATGGCCGTTTGCATACACACCCGCTCGGCCTGGCCCTGCACGAGCGCCATCTTGTCCGTGTGGCGGCCCAGCATCACCAGCGGCGGGCCCCCGGCAGCCTCCACGGTGCGCACCAGCACCTGCGCCACCAGCAGACCCAGCTTGCCGTCACCTGGGGACCGGTTAGGGTGGTAAAGAGGAGGCAGTAGGAGAAAGATTCGAATGGTGAGGAGGAAAGGCCTAGCTAGATAACTAGTAAGCATGTGTGGGCGAGCAGGAGGAGGACGACGTATACAGCTTGCGCGCACGGGAACGCCAGTAGGGTTGACGCTCTAGATATTATCTTCGACCGGCAGGGTGGCGTGCTTGCCAGCCCAAGTCATACTCGTGTACTCAAACAAGCCCAAAGCCCGCTTCACACTGATGCTTTCCCCCGCCCTTCACCAGCCTTCATTCCCCCTACGTTCTTCCTCACCTATGACAGCCACCCGGTCTGACTCCGGCCTCCGCGGCAGCCCCTGCTCGGGTATGCGGCATGCGGCCGCCAGCGGCTCCGCAAACACCGCCTCCTGGTCCGCCAGGGCGGGCGGCACGGCGTGCAGGCAGGCGGCAGGCAGCGTCACGTAGGGCGCCAGGCAGCCGTCGCGGCCGATGATGCCCAACACGGTCCTGCAGATGAGGGGGCATGGGGAGGAGTACACGGGTGGTTGCCATAACCAAGTCCAGTGCCCTCAACCCCTGTCTGTCATCATTCCACCCGCTGCGCACCTGCCTGGTGCATGGTTGCGCTGGAAGATCGCGTCAGCACATGTGAAGTGCGTGTCGTTGCAGTTGATTTCGCCGACCACACGCATCCCAATCGCCAGTGGTTCCTGGCTGGGGCCACCCTGCAGCCCAGCATCGCCATTGGCTGTTGTTGCCGCTGGCGCCTCCAGTGGGGGCCCTTGAGCAGCCACTACACCCACGAACTCATGACCCAACACGCCGTGGAATCCGGGCACGTATCCACGACAAATTTCCAGGTCCTGGTTGCGAGGGCAAAGAACGGGAAACAAGGGCTCTAGGCCTGTCAGAAGGACTGCGAGCGGGTGCGAGCGCAACGAGCGTATGAGAACAACCCACATCATTTCAGGCGCCCTTAGGTTGACGGTGATCCGTACGTCAAGACTACACCGGAGGCGAATTACAGCGATAGGTGATGTGTCATGCGCATTAAGGCATAACGAAACCCGCCAAACAATTGCGCTCCTCTACCTCACCGTTGAGCAGATACCAGCCCGCAGAACTTTTACAAGAACCTCGCCAGGACCGGGAACAGGAATGGGCCTGCCTTGCTCAAGAGTCGCCTTGCCAGAGGCGGAAGAAAAAGTGAGTGCTTGCATGGTTAGTATATTGCAAAATCCTTGCAGAACAAGCATGAAGTAGGTGCCGCGGACGGCGATTGGTAAATTTGGTTCCACCCCGCTCCACTTTCGGTTGGATCTTGAGTGGTCCAAGGCGCGTCAGGCATTCAGCCACTCGCCGCCCATTAAAGATGTGAACCATAGGACAGTACTTTACCTGCTTTCCATTGTTAAGATGCACGAATGAGCAATATTTCCTATACGGAGCTCTAGGACACTGCGGCGCACAGGTTCACAAACACTTCTACAACGCCGCCGAAATGGCCCAAAGCTTGCGGCAACTGCCGTGTCACCAGGCGCGACCAACTGCAACAGCCGCGATTAGTCTCCTGCAGCTCCGACGCTCTGGCGCACTCAGTCGCTGTGCGGTCGTCCCCGCGCTAGGGGTTCTTCGGGACCGCTACTTACATCGTCACAAAGGGGCAACGAAGCCTCTAGGCGCAGCTCAGGAGGACGCGCCACGGCATGGAAGTCGCAATGACAACGCGTCCGAGGCGAAACTCCGGCAAGTTCCAGAAGGAATGCTGTCGCGAGAAGAAGATATCGAAGACGCCAACCCTAGTACCGGCGACTTCTCTGCGATTGGGGCTTCAGCCTCTGAAACGCGGACATCTGCTGCAACACAACCACACTGTGTCCCCGACTGCATCCTCGCACGGGAGGAGGAAGATGACGGACCGCATGACGGGCCCTATCCTCCCGACCTGCGTGTACTGCCGGGGGGAATGCTGTCACGCGAAGAGGAGGAGGAGGAGGTGGCCGGCAGCGGCTTTCAGGCAGGCCAGCAGGCCGGCGCCGAGGCAAATGGGCCCGGCAGTGCGAGCCCGCCGCAGCGGCCAGTGGTTGCGGCCGCCAACGTCGCTGCCACGCTGCTTAGCGACACCGCTACAGCAGGCACTTCCGTGGCCACAGGTGACGATGCAGCAGCGACCAAGCCGTCGTCATCGCCTCGCGCGGCCCCTGCACCCGCCGCCGCACCTCCTGCGCAGTTCAACTGGTTCCAGCAGTGGTACCCCGTGGCTCCGCTGGCCTCCCTGGACCCCTCACGTCCGCACCCCTTCACCTTGCTGGTGAGCGGGGCCTGATGGGGAGCTGGTGGCCCACAGGAGGGCGGGCGGACGTGGCTGCTGAGCTATGTGCGTGTGTTAAGACATGCCGGGGGTTGTCCGCATGGCCGGAAATAGCAGGAAATTGGCTGCCGGACATTGGCTGTATTGACTCGTGTGTACGATAGATGTTCGCTTGCCATGGCATGCGCAACGTGTAGGCAGTGGCCCGGTCTAGGCGTGGAAGCTGTATGTCCGTTGTTGTCTTCCCTGGACTGTCTCTACCTGGTTTACGTGGTTGAACGTAGCCACATGCCTCAGCTCACAGGCTACTCCCCACCCCGTCACCGGTATCTTATGCCCTCGCCGCTCTCAGGGTCAGGAGCTGGTGCTGTGGCGGGACGGCACGGGCAGGTGGCGCGCCTTTCAGGACGCCTGCCCACACCGGTGAGGGTGGTGGGGGTGGTGGGGGTCAGGGAGGGGTCAGGGAGGGGTTTGGGATGCGGGGGAACGTGGGTGGAACGATTGCGGCCGCGGCGAGCCCGGGCACCCGCGACGTGGGCTGGCAGGTGGTTAACGGCTGGATGAGCCTCTTGCGACCCTTCTTTGAGGCTCATTGCCTACCCTTGTAACTGCGATGGGCTGGGGAGGGGTGCTTAAGGCTTCACGCGCGGCCTATGGTTCATGGTTCCCACCCCGCTGTCCCCTTACCTTCCTTTCAGGCTGGCCCCCCTGTCCGAGGGTCGGGTGGAGGCGGACGGCTCGCTGCTGTGCGCCTACCACGGCTGGCGCTTCGACGGCAGCGGCGCTTGCACCGCCATACCCTCCTGCAGGTGGGGCACAGCGGCGTGTGGGGCGAGAAGTGGGTGGCTAGGAGCTACTGCCTCCTGGTACATGGCCCGAGCGCGCGTGGCTGTATACGTTCCAATTGCATGACGTTCGCCGTACCCCACGCCGTCATACCCCGCATTTGCCCTCCTTGACCCTTCCCTCCCCGTGTCCGCCCCTCCGCCCCCCGCAGAGACGCTGATGCACTGCGCCGCGCCACCGGCAACCCCCGCAGCTGTGCAGTGGCCTACCCCACCCTGGAGCGCGGCGGGCTGCTGTGGGTGTGGGGCGAGGGAGGCCCGGCAGCGGCAGCAGCCAGCGCGGCCAAGCAGCCGGCACTGCCGCCCGAGCTCAATGTGAGTAGCGGAATGTTGAGAGTTGTGAATGAGGAGTGTGCATGGGACGCCAGCAGGGTGTTGGCAGGAAGAGGGCAGGGCTGGGGAGAGAAGAGAGAAGCGAGGGAGGAGGGGTTTGGTTTGCACACAAGACCATGGACCGTTGCAGCAAGCTGTGGGTCCAATCCGTAGAGTGTTCTGCAGCAGCTGCACAGCCGTTGGCAGCGCATATGTCGGGGTGGGATCTAAGTGCAGCGTGTACGTCCAGCGCGCACCCCGGGGGATGTACCGATGGCAGGGAGAGTGTGTTGCAACACGGCTTGCCCGTCCCTTTGACGCTGCCCCCTGCCGCCTGTTTGTCTTGCCCTCACTTGTGGGTTGGTGTTTTGTCGCCCCCGCTAAGGAGGACGGCAGCGGCGCCCCGGGGGTGCGGGCGCCCGGGTGGACCTTCAGGGACCTGCCGTACGGCCACGTGTACTTCATTGAGAACGGTACGAGGCTTGACACTCTACGTGTCCCACCTTTGCAATTTCAGTGGTGTGCAGCACCTTCAACCCTTCTCTTTTTACTGGTTCAGCCTGCCATTGTTGCTCTACTTGCGCGCGTGTACTATACCCCGTGATCCCCCATCCTAACCCCGCCCCCTACCTCTCCCCTCCGGCCTCCTGCGCCCGCTGCTGCGCGCACCCAGTGGTGGACCCGGCGCACGTCCCCGTCAGCCACCACAAAGTTGCGGGTACGGCCAGCAATGAGGTTTTGAGTAATGCAGCTGTTGCCAGGGAAGTCCGCCGTTCCCCGCGTGTTCCATGACCCCAGTGTTCTTGACGCCCCAGCTCACCTGACATCTTCCTTGCCAGATGCCAGTCAAGCTGCAGCACCACCACTTCCATCCCTCGGCCCCCCCTGCCACCGGCGCCCCCAGGCGATCGATACAACGATGTGAAGCCATTTGACATGGAGCTCAGTCGGCCGGTGACCCTGGAGGGGGGATTCCAGGTGGGTCGTCGGGGAAGCGAGGAGCCCGGTGGGCGGGGGAGCGGATCGGGAGGTGGAGCTGGGTCGGGCGTTAAGGATGCGTTGGGGGGGCCGTGGCGGCCTGCTTCCATACGCCCGACCAGGGGCCTCTACGATTGCATGTTGCGTGGCCGGGTGTCACGGTTGACCTGGTGTTGTTGCGTTGAAGCCGGGTACGGGGTCCAAGCCTTGAGGGGTTTGTTGCAAGGTATCGGTACCCTGTTGACAGTGCTTGAGTGGCAGTCTCGGAAGGGAGACTTGAAGCTTACGGCCTCATCTGTCCCATCCTCTCCGCACCACCTGCCCACCTGCCCCCCTTGCAGGTGCGTTACGCTGACTCCTGGCGCAAGGACGTGCGGGAGGCGCTGACGGGCTTCACGCCGCCCGGCTGCATCCGCATCGAGCAGCGCCACTTCAGCGGCGGCACCACCCTGCTGGTGCTGTACAGCACCCCCACGCGGCCGGGGTGGACGCGGCACATGGGGCAGCAGGTGGGGGGGGCGTGGAAGGGGGAGGGGGAGGAGAAAGTTGAGTGCGCATGGCTGGGGAAGGTTAGGTTGTTCCTGGAACCCCTAGAACGGGGTGAGCTGCAAGCGAGCCTTACCTAGGCGCCGCTGGTTGTGGGCGGCCCCGGTGGTTATACCTTCCTTTTCCTGTCGCGCCTCTTTCTGGCACCCGCTGTTGATCACTGTGTAACCCAGGGGCGTGCTGCTGACCCGTGCGCTGTACGCGACTCGTGCTGCCCACTTCTGTTGTTATGCCGCTGGCGCGGGGCTGACCCGCCCCCTCCCCCTTCTCTCTCCCCGCAGCTGCTGGTCGAGGCCCCCGGCGGCGCCCGCGGTTCCGGCATCTCCTTCTTCGGCGCGCCCATTCCCTCCTGGCTGCTGCACACCCTGGCAGCCGTGTTCCTGCACCAGGTGGGGCGGGGTGGGGGCGGGGGTGGGGCAGGGCGCGGGTGGGAGGGCTGGCGGTGAGGCGGGCAGGGCCCCTTTGGCAGGGATGGACACAGGGCTTGCTGGAGGTCTCATGGTGTAGTGCTCCGTTGGCGTCTGGTTCCGCGCTCGCTTGTTGGCATTAGGGTGCGCGCGGGATGCTGATGCGCCTGTTGCACTTGCGCCAACCGGATTGCCATTGAAGAGCAGCTGGCCGTACCCAGAAGACAGAACAGCATGTCCCCTGCCTTGCCGGGCCAGCTTACCTTGAAGTGTCCCGTTCACAGCTGTCCTGTGGCCCCCTTCCCTTTCCCCAACTCCTGCCAGGATATGGTGTTCCTGCACCACCAGGAGCGAACCGTGGCGAGGCAGCAGCAGCAGCGGGCAGCGGCGGCGGCAGCGGAGACTGCTCGAGCGGGTGGCAGTACGGCGGCGGTGGGCAACATCAGCGGCCTGCCCCCTCCCAAGTACTACATGCCAACATCCGTTGACAGGTACGACATTTCTCTAGCCTGTTATCTCGGAATGCCTTGTGCCGGGCACAAATGCCGCCGTCTGCCGCGTCCTAGTGGCTTTGCCGCTGGACAGTACCTGCTATGGACATCCGCCTTCCTCTCTTTCGCCGGTCCTATCCTCCATACACGTCCCTCCCTGTCGCTCGTACCGCCTACCAAACCGTTACCCACCCGTAGTGGCGTGGTGGCGTGGCGCCAGTGGCTCTCCACGTACGGTGGCGGCGACGTGTCGTACGCACCTGGCACCCCGCCGCTGAGTCCCCGCGAGTCCGACCCCGCCAAACTCTTCGACACCTGGAACACGCACACGCGGCAGTGCGCCATCTGCATGCGCGCGCTGCAGCGCATCCGGGCGCTGCGGCTGGTGGCGGCGCTGGCGGGCGGCCTCGCTGTTGTGCTGGCCACTGCAGCCGCCGCGGCGCGTGCTGCTGCGGTTGCTGCGGCAGCGGCGGCGGCGGCGGGAGAAGCGAGCGGGTCGCTGTTCGCGGCAGTTGTGCGGGGGTTCCTGTGCCGGGAGGTGCTGGTGGCGGGGGCGGTGGCGGCGGTGGCGGCGCTGGTGTGGTGGGTTGCGGGCAAGTTGGAGCGCATGATGCATGTGTACGAGTATTCGCATGCGGATAACAACTAGCGGAGAGGGGAAAGTGCAACTTAGTGAGATGCATACATGAGAGCAAGTTGACAGGAGAGGGCATGACATGAGCGTGGTGCAGAGAGGAAAGGAGTGCGAGTTGAAGTGACCGTTAGTGTGGTCACGGATAAAGCAATTTTACCTTGCAGTAAGTCTGTGCCCGAACAGGACGTCCAGGTTTTGCCTGACGTCGATTTCCTTGCTGATATCAATGCGAGTGGCCACGGGCATGAGCTGTGTAGCTGTTTCCCTCAGTTCCTTAACCTCGGCGCATTACAGTTACATATTGAACGTATGTTGCTTTACCAGCCAGGGAGCCCACGGCCACTACCGGTATATGCAACGAAGCCAGTCCTGTTCGGGGCCCCTTATATGGCGCCGCATTGGGCTCCCACCCAGGGATAAGGTCACTAGCCAGAGTTTCGGTGCTTCGACTGGTAGAAGTGTTTCTCATGCAGTTGTGGCTGAATGATATGCTCGCTGATATGAGCTCGGCTTGGGGAGGCATCCTCACAAGCTATTGCAAAACGCTGCTAGACATGGAGGCCTGGAAGAGAAAGGCTATAGTCGTAAGCAGGGATACATGAATAACAAAATGGTCTGTGCAGCTGGGTAGATGACCAAATGCATATCTTGAGCCTCTTGAGGAGTTGTCACTAGCAGTTACTGGCCGCGCTGATGTAGGGATGCTGGCGTCCCATGGGTCGGTAGGTGGTGAGGGTTAACAAAGAGGCTACCGTATTGCCCAAAATTTAATTGACAAAAATAAAATGTTTTGGGTTTTGTCAAATGGGGCAAAAATGTTTTTTGCCATGTCAAATGGGGCTGGAAATTCGCTGGCAAGGTGTCAAATGGGGGCAAAATATTCCGCCTGGGGTGACTGCAGGGTAACTAAGATGGGAACGGAGAGGTAGGGGGCAACTGACTTGCCAGTGCGCTGGATCCTCACCGCGCCATGCCCAGTCGGGGTTTCCAAATGGTGTTCCACTTATCCTCCTAGGGCTGCACAGCGGCATACAGCTGAACTGCTCCTCTCCTTACCATGTTACATCCAATACGTACGGCGGCTTTGGGGGCGTTTTGGCGATGTCAAATGGGGCTAGAACTTCGCCAACAGGAAGTCAAATGGGGCATAAATTATCCCGCTTTGTCAAATGGGGCTAGAAAATAGGCTTCCAAACGCATGTCAATTACATTTTGGGCAATACGGTAATGCCGCTGGCCCCTCGCTAGCTTAACAGCAAAGCCCCGGGGCCATGATGGCTTTTGCCTTCTACAGCCTCACTTCTCGCAGGTAACACGCTCAATGCATGCTAACGAATGTTCCCCAAAGTATCATATGCAGGAAGCTATATCCTGCAATTACAGTAACGGCCTGTGGCTGCGGTTGTCGCCCCCGGGGTTTGTAGAGCGTCCATTTCTTGCTCTAGCTGCCGTGATGCGTTACAGCTAATTAACGTAAGCCGAAGCCAACCAACCGTCCGTCGCCTCCACACCAACCGAGAACCCCAACCCTAACCCACACGTCCCGACGCCCCAACCTATGTTTAAGATGCACTAGTGGCCGATTGTGCTGACAGCACCCAGTGTTGCACCTCGATTGCCGATTGACCCCCTTAATTGAGGGACCGGCATCCAGGAAGCCCCTCCATACTAGCCTCCTACTCGAGAAACGAAACGCAAGCAAACACCCCACTCGCTATGCGCGACCCCGGGCGGGTGGGTGGGGCCTAGGCGGCCACAATCCCGGCAGAGGGATGGCAACCTGATACTATCAATCACAACGGCAGTTGAAAGCACAAACGCGTGAGACAGCCCTGATATGCTGGGTCGATTCGCCATCGATCGCTGTCGTACAACCAAGCAAGCGCGCCATGTGCTTCCACGCACCACGGCAGCTAGCAACAAACCTACTTCTTCAGTCATACTTCCTTACAAAAGTGACAGCTTAGCAACGGGATTGAGCCGTGTCCCCGTAGCTCGCCTCTAAGGAAACCACTCTTCAAGGAACGAAGGAAGGGGGAAGCCTGAAGCGAGAGGAGGCACTAACGGCGGCTGTCGTTCCATTACATTTGAACCAAGGCCCATGGTACGGCAGAACAGTGCACCTTCGATCGGATGGTGCCCACATGGTCCGAGCTGCGTGCAGCACATGACCGGTTTGACTACCAGCAGGGAGTAGAAAGCTTGGTGTCTGTCCTTGATGAAAGTCCAAGCGGCTGCTGGGTCCCTTGAATGGCCTAATGTCATGACGCACATTTTGTTTTGCCGCCCACCCAACGCGCTACCCTCGCCGCCCATGCCTTGCACGTATGCCCCATGTGCCATTTCTCTCAGCTAGACTAACTCATCCGATTTTTCCCCATGGACCCGTAGGGTGGAATCGCCGTGTTCTCAAGCACTTCATGTACCGTACCTTCGGGTGATCATCGCGCAGCCCCATTCGCGCAGGGGTGTCAGGAATTAATTTTCAGCTTCGCGCAGCTACTGTCCACCACTGCATTTTGACTGTAAGAACCCATCCATGTAAGCCCAGATCGCCAAGACAGCTTTACAAATACCGCTATGTATTCCATGGGGCATACTAGCATGCAGCCCGGGGCTGGGCAGCGGAGCTGATGGGGTGCTGGGGCATGTTGGGGGTGCGGGGAAGGGTCCCGAAGGGTTTCCCCAGTTTCGCGCACCCCTCTCAGCAATTATTTTATTTTGCGCGAAACTGCAAATTTTCCGAACTAATTATTTATTTTTGCGCGATGATATCGTGAAGGTACGGTAGTGAGCAGCGTGAACCAGGAAGTTACATGTGCAGACGTTAAGACCGAGAGTTGTAGTCCAAATCGTCCTTGGCCAATTGCCACCATCAGCAACACGAAACGGACTACGAATATTGTTGCTGCATTGTGGAAATAAGAGGCAATGAATAATATATATCAGTATAAACGAGTAATCCTATGCAATTACGACCATAATGAATAACGCGCTACAGCCTTAGTAAAGCAAGACCTGCCAACCGAAGGTCGAAGGGAATTGAGAAGTGACGTGGTGAAAACGAAGATAAGAGGCCAATTTAGAAACGAAGGTACAGTGCGCAAAACTATGCAAGGAAACCTGCAACCTACGGTATATAAGCAACCATTAGCAACCATTGCGCGTTCAATATCTTGCGAATATCCTGCCGTACATACGCACTGGCCTGCTATTGCGCAAGCGATATAATAGCCCTCATTGGTGGTCTAGTCAGGACAGAACCTCGACACATGTCGTCCCCTTATGACACCAGTGTTGCGGGACAGCACTTGTTGTTTGACGAGAAGATGGAGACCTGCATGGACAAGGAAGTCTCGTCACAAGACTGCATCAGGTTGCACGCTGTAGCAAATGCCAATTGAGGTGGCGCCAATGGGACGCTACATTATATAGGGAGTGGGGGCAGACGGAAACGGTGCATGACACGCCGGTAAAAGCCGTGGACTAATAGTAGTGACTTGCCTGGCAGTGTCCGTTCAAGCAGAAGTTGGCGGGGTCAGCGCACGCTCCAGGGCGAACAACCCAGCACAGAGTTGCATTGTTGGGGCTCGGGAGAACACTGCAATGAGGAATGGCAAATATGTTAGCAAAGGTCTTGGGATATGGTGCACTACAAGGTCAAAAAGCTACTGGCTTTGGGCTTACTTGACAAGATCGGTGAACTTGAGGGTTAGGATGGGGGCGTAGTCGCCCCAGCTGTTAGTCATGGACTTGTAGTTCACCATAAGCTGTCGAAACTCGCTCTTGCAAGATGGCGCGATAGGGACCTCAACCTGCATTGTAATGAACCAGTTGGCAGTTATTAGCAGACTGATCTGTGCATGTTGTCGTACGGCTCTTGCAACAAGGTGTACGGTACAAACCCAACGGGTACGGTACTGCCCCACGTGTACAACATTTGCTTACCTTCGCAAACTCCATACCGCAGCAGTACTTCGACGCAATGCAGGCTTGCGATGCCACCTTGACGCACATGCCGACCGCTGTCTTGTTATACTGATCCATGGTGCTAATGGTAAACAGCTGTCCCACTCTGTACGGAACATTCGCCGTGCTCTGAACGCAGTCGTGGGTAGCGACCAGAGGCGGCGCTGGAGGCGTTGGCACCGGAGGCCGCGGGGATGGAGGCTTGGGCGTTGGGGGCTTGGGCGATGGAGGCTTGGGTGATGGGGGCATAGGCGATGGGGGTTTTGGCGACGGGGGCGTGAGCGATGGGGGCTTTGGCGACGGGGGCATCGGCAGGGGCGGCGAAGGCTTCCACTTGGGCGACGGCGGTGCGAAGGGGTCTGGGTTCGCAGCGCACGAGTGCTCAAAGTGACCGTTGAGGCAGGTGCCAACACCGCTGGGATCGTACACGTCGCTATACACCTTGTAGCCAGACAGGTAGTCTGGGCAGATGTTGGTGACGTTGTTGACCCACATCTCAAGGCCTACCAGAGGAGTCTGCAGCCAGTCGCCCAGCTTGGCGCCATCAGCGTTCGAGAAGAAGGTACCACATACCTTCACGTAAGGGTAAACAGGCGGCGCGACACTGTTGTTGTAGGCTGCCGAGCATTCGATTAGCGAGAAGGGCACCATGACCTTGGCGCCATAGAAGGATGTGGCTGTGTTCAGACTTGAAACGATGAGCTCGCCAACAGAGCACGAGAGACCACTGCCAAAGGTGATCAGGGTCTTGTTGCCCAACTGTGCAGGAGGAACGATGGTCACAAAAGCGCACACCGGGCATGGTGGTGGTGGCGAAGGAGGTGTGGGAGACGGGGGAGCGGGGGAAGGAGGCGGTTGGGAAGGTGGCTGGGGAGAGGGAGGAGCGGGCGACGGTGGCTGGGGAGAGGGAGGAGCAGGAGACGGTGGTTTGGGAGAGGGAGGAGCAGGAGACGGTGGTTTGGGAGAGGGAGGAGCGGGCGAAGGTGGCTGAGGAGAGGGTGGAGCTGGGGATGGCGGCTGAGGAGAGGGTGGAGCTGGGGATGGCGGCTGAGGAGAGGGTGGAGCTGGGGATGGCGGCTGAGGAGAGGGTGGAGCTGGGGATGGCGGCTGAGGAGAGGGTGGAGCTGGGGATGGCGGCTGAGGAGAGGGTGGAGCTGGGGATGGCGGCTGAGGAGAGGGTGGAGCTGGGGATGGCGGCTGAGGAGAGGGTGGAGCTGGGGATGGCGGCTGAGGAGAGGGTGGAGCTGGGGATGGCGGCTCAGGCGAAGGGGCGGGTGATGGTGGTTGGGGAGAGGGAGGAGCGGGCGAGGGTGGTTGGGGAGAGGGAGGAGCGGGCGAGGGTGGCTCGGGAGAGGGAGGAGCGGGCGAGGGTGGCTCGGGAGAGGGAGGAGCGGGCGAGGGTGGCTCGGGAGAGGGAGGAGCGGGCGAGGGTGGCTCGGGAGAAGGGGCAGGTGATGGTGGCTGTGGGGAGGGAGGAGCAGGAGACGGTGGCTCAGGTGAAGGAGCAGGTGATGGTGGCTGTGGGGAGGGAGGAAAAGGCGAAGGTGGCTGGGGAGACGGAGGCAGACGCGGCGGCATGGGAGACGGAGGAGGTGACGGAGGCGACTGAGGAGCGGGAGGAGGAGTGGGTGGCGACGGTGGTAGTGGCAAGGGAGGCTGAGGGGACGGTGGTAGTGGCGAGGGAGGCTGTGGGGACGGTGATAGTGGCGAGGGAGGCTGGGGGGACGGTGGTAGTGGCGACGGCGGTTGGGGCGAAGGAGGTAGTGGCGACGGGGGTTGGGGGGAAAGGGGAACCGGCGAAGGAGGCTTAGGTGATGGTGGCAGAGGGGAGGGTGGCAAAGGCGACGGCGGCTTTGGAGCAGGGGCAGGAGAAGGAGGCAGTGGCGATGGTGGCTTGGGAGCAGGAGAAGGAGGCAGTGGCGATGGCGGCTTTGGGGGTGTCGATGGAGGTTGAGGGCTAGGTGGCGGTGAAGAGGTGAACGTGCAGATGGGGCAAAAGTTTGTGGCTGACACGTCGGCGAAAGAGTACCTGCGGAAAAGAAGCAGGAGACAAGGAATGATACGGGGTTAAGGGCTATCAAAAGCTGCATTGGATGTACCGAAAACCCACCGGCAGCCCTTGGTTACGGAGCTGTAGCACAGGTCTCCAAAGGTGCTGCATGGCTTCTTTGTCGTAATGCAGATTTGCGTTCCGACGAAGGTGGCGTTGCGCATTCCCAAGTTATACAATTTCAGCTCGTAACCAGCACCAAACGCTGCACGCATTGAAAACATGTCGTCAACACCAGGGATTACCGGCTGCATCTGTACATGGGAAGATTTGTAGCCGACTTACTGGTGTTGTGGGAGTATGTGTTCCATGAGGTATAGAGCTGCCCATTAACAGTCACCCGGGGAATGTTGGACTTGATGCTGCATTGTTGCGTTGTCTCAAACGTCAGCTTTTCGACAGCCTTCAGCATACCGCTGCAGCAGGCAAGCGTCTTGTCGCAGCCAACGTAGGCAACGTTGAAGCAAGTCCGTGCCGACGTAGCGTTCTGCACATAGAGAAATGATGCAGGCATAGTGAGCAAGGTGGCATTGTAAACGCCACGCACAAGCCGGCTCGTGAACTCTCCGGACAGCCCCTTGCAGCATAACCGAGGAAGCCCTTACCACGACGTAGTCCGCTAAGGTGATCTTGTAAGGACTACAGACGCAGTCATAGCTCAGGCACTGACACCAAGGAAAACCGTTGTTTGCCGCCAGGAGGTTGCGACCGATGCCGACATCATGAGCTACAGGCACGGAAGATGCTGCCGCACCTGCTTGGAACATTTGCGGTAGAGTGGATGCAGAGGTCGAAGAGTTATGAAAAGCTCGGAGACGCACACGTTGGAAGATAGGGCTGTTGAGGTGCGATGACAGCTCTGCTATTTTCAAATGTATGTAGACGATCAAATGTTCCAGGCCTTTAAAACTCTGAAGGCAAACACGGTTTGCTACACAGCGGTGGACAACCAAAGGGTGCAAGCCAACTTACCGATGGCAATGCTCAGAGCGGCCGCCCACAGCAGTAAGGCAAGGCCGCGCGCCATAGTTAATTGGCGCTTTCACTGCGATATATAATTGGCGCAAGGTACAAAGTCTGGTGGGATTGCTAGGGAGGAAAGGGCGCTAAAACCCGAGAGGAGCGTCAATTTGTCTCCGCGATGTTGCCTCCTGGTTACCTCTAGGACGCTCGTATGTCAATTGTACACTAAAGACCAGCCTAGCAATCAACAGCTTAGGAACCTCAGGTTTGCAGGGATGCCCGCAACCGTGGAGGCTGGCCCTCTACACGTACTTTGTAAGGGGCTAAGCTTCTGAGTTAAGGGCTCGACTGGCTTACTGAGCTGTAAGTGACTGGATTGGGCATCTTTATGTAGGAACCGCTGACCTCCGTAGCGCGCTCCAAAGAAACCATTCCCGTAGCTCGCACCTGAGAAACCGTACGACAGAATCCATGGTTTCGGCGTCTACGAAGAGCGTCATCAGGCGATATTATGATCCAGGGATCGCTTGTTCCGTTTCCTGCCGACCACCATGATAAGTATTCTGATGCATGGATTGATGGAGCCTTGTAGCCAAAGTTCCAAAATACTAGCTAACCATCTCCTACGGTCCGTCCTTTGCAAAAACGGTTTAGCGATAGTCTAAAAGATTAAGACCATGTTTTAGACTGTACTATGGACAATCAACGTGGTGCAGGCATGCACCTTTGGCGCAAGCGCGGCCGAATGCTTTGGATTGCTGCCATATTCCCACGGGTATAGTGTTGTGTTGACGCAACTAAATGCCTGTGGATCTGGGAGCTGGCGCTGAGGGCAAGACGGATGGGAAGTCCATCAGCGATCCGGCAGTCGTCTTGTGGCGAAAAAGGGCCCAAACAAAGATGCAATAAAAAATATAGGAATTTGGATTTCTGATGCCAGGCATAAGCTGGTTGGAAGGCGACACACCACCGTATGGATTACCCTCGGCTTCACACCTGCGTATGCCTTTGCTTTCGTTTCCTGCTGTTTTCTTCCTTGTCTCTCCCTTTGCCTGGGCGGTTAATGGGAGGACAAGGCGGGGGAGGCTCTGAACGATGGGGTTTGAAACGAGCAGGATAATCAGGTGTTGAGGGCCAGGAGCTTGGGCCTGGTAAATGTCAAGTCGAAAGATTGAGGGACATCTTGAGGTTGGGAAGCTTGTGGCCGGGTGTGGACTGTAAGGTTTACCGAAAGCAATTCGAAGAGAAGCAGGTAAAGGGGAGTCAAGGGCGAAAGGTCAATAAATGAGGGGAAATAGCCACAAAGTGGGAAGTACATGCCAGCTACGGGGTCTGAGGAAGGCCTACGGATGGACATGTTGTACGGTCGTACCTCCACCGAAGAGTAAGCGCAAGGAAGCTTGCTACTGTGTAACTTCAACTGCTGTCGAGAGTAGAAACAATTGTCCCTATCACCTGGCAACGGCGCATCTAAGCCGGCAAGCATACCTTCTTTAGTTGGCTGATCTAGAGAGTTACAGCACTGTGGCAACATATATCACATTTAGTCCACGATGGCAACACAGCAAGTAGATGGCGCTCAGCTGGCGCCAAGCAGTCAGCCACTAACCGTTGCGATTGGGCTCATTGGTCCAGGACTTATTGGGAGTGCATTCCTGCGGCAATTATTGAAACAGGTAGGTGCTGGCTGGCTTGGTTAACGCATTGGTAGGCCGCATCGACCATGCAACCACTTGTCACCAGGTCCAGGGCCGTGCGTGTCTTGCCTTACCCATCAACATTCCGGCTCTGCCTCCTCCCGCTGCCGGCATCCCACTCTCACCCTTCTCCCTTCCTACCCCATCCGCGGCGACTGGGTAGGCCCCCAGACTCCTTGCCCCTCTGCACGCCAGCAGCCTGACAGTAGTGGGGGTCGCCAACAGCCGCCGCATGCTGCTGCGGAGCTCTGTCGCTGTTGCTTCTGCCGAGGGCTCCTGGGAACAGCAGCTGACCAATGAGGGTGAGCCCATGGACCTCTCACGCTTCATCTCCGCCATAGCTGCGGCCGCCTCGCCAGCCTCTTCCTCCTCCGGCTCCTTCCCTGCCCCTGCCCCGCGCCCCTGCGGTGTGCTGGTGGACTGCAGCGCCTCTGAGGAGGTGGCGGCCGCCTACCCGGCCGCAGTGAGGGCGGGGCTACATGTCATCACGCCCAACAAGAAGTTCGGAGCGGGTGAGGAGGAGGGCGGATGAGGAGGAGGGCGGGAGGGCGGGTGGCCTGGCTGGGGGCTGGCTGGGGGCTGCAAGGCGGGCGGGTGTGGGAGGGGAATTCCAGCTTGACGAGCTGTGCTTGGTGCTGGTGGTTGTGTGTGGTCGAGGTAATGGAAGGCATGGCGTGCAGGTGCTGTGACCTTGCGTGTCAAGGTCGTCGACTCCCCCTTCTGTGGGCCGAGGGCGGGTGGGTGGTCCTGGCACTGCTCGGCAACATCCTAGCCCTGCCTCAACACCTGCTCTCCCTCACGGTCCTTCCCCTGGCCCTTCCTCCTGCCCTCACATCCTCCCCACATCACCACCTGTCGCCCTCCAGGCCCGCTAGCGCGCTACCAGGAGCTGATGAGGCTGTCGGAGCGCTGCCAGCGCCGCTTCATGTACGAGGTGCGAAGGGGGGGGAAATAAGGAAAACTGACGAACTGTATGACGAGGCTTTACCATCGAGGGTGGGGGAAGGGGTTTTCCAGAGAGGAGCTTGGGGTACGGCAGGTTGCCGGCCAGTGCACTAGTGAGGAGGTATAGTATCGTACCTTTGGCAGTACGGGGCAGTGCGTATGGAGGGTTCTTGTCGAGGCATGATGTGCGTCCCTCCCTCCACCTAGCAGCACCGCTTCCCTCGCTCCCCATTTCGCGACACCCTAACCCCCTCTCAGGCCCCTGCACAGTGCCTTTTGTGATATCCTACTTACCCCCAGTCGCATGGTTGTTCCCTTTCCCTAACCCCTTGCCGCCCCACCTCGCTCACCGCGGCTTCCCGCTTCCCCTCCCTCCCAGGCCACAGTGGGTGCTGGGCTGCCCGTCATCTCCACCCTGCAGTCGCTCATGCAGACAGGCGACCGCATCATCCGCGTCGAGGGCATCCTATCCGGGACCCTGTCGTACATATTCAACACCTACAAGTGGGTACCATTCTTGCGGCTTACTGTGCAGCTAGCACGGTCGATTGGTCTGAAGGCACCTTAAGGCACATGGCCTCGCTCCCAGCTGGCTCCTCTTCCCCGCCCATTCCCAATGTGACCCCGTTTCGCACCTCCGCCCCGGACTGCGCCCAACTCCCACACTCCCGCCTCACGCAGGCCCGGCATGCGGTTCAGTGACGTGGTGGCGGACGCCAAGGCCAAGGGCTACACGGAGCCCGACCCACGGGATGATTTGTCAGGTAGGCGCTCATGGCGCAGGAGGTGTAATCGCATTGCGCAAAGGCCTTAGACGGTCAGGCACGGCCCTTGGACCACCAGGCCCTGCTGTGTCTCCTTGCACCACCATTGTCTTGCGAGGTAGGACTATTGCCTCCCCGGTCCCCTGCCGGGAGGTTGCTAGGCGTCTCGGAGGCGTCTCGGTCAGTTGGACTGATTAAGATCCAAGCCTCCTGCCCACCTGCTTCATGGGCTGCTGCCGTAGGTCTGGATGTGGCGCGCAAGGTGGTGATCCTGGCTCGCGAAGTGGGGCTGGCCGTGGAGCTAGAGGGCCTGCAGGTGGAGAGCCTGGTGCCGCAGCCGCTGAGCGACCCGGGGGTCACTTCTATCGAGGCGTTCATGCAGGGGCTGCCCCAGGTGCGCAGTTGGGCGGAATCGCGGATTAAGCGAACAGGGCGGTACGGAGGCACTGCATGTTTGGCAGGGATCCGGCCATTGGCGTTGAGAGGAGGCTAAGTAGCGGGGTAATGCGCACGGTTGTGATCTTTAGCACGGGATGCTTCCGTTGTTCCCAGCAGCGCTCGTGGCCCTGGCATTTGCAGTTGAGCATTCTTTGAGCGTTCCCCCTGTGTAACTTTTTACCAATCCCATGCTGCTGTCTGCATTGTGCTTCTTAGCGCTGCTAGAGCTGCTTGACACGAACACCACACCCCAACACACTGCCCTGCGGCATTCCCACCCGTTGAGTGCTGTGCGTCTCATGAAACTGCCGTGTGCTGGCGTCCCCGCCTACCGCAGCACGATGAGGCGATGTCGGCCCGGGCCGCCGAGGCGGACGCGGCAGGCGGAGTGGTGCGCTACGTGGGCTGTGTGGATGTGGAGGCGGGCAGCGCGGGAGTGTCGCTGCGGAGGTGGGGGAGGGGGGAGGTGGACGGGGGCGGGGGCGCACATGGAAGGGGCGAGTGGAGAGGGCAAGCTTGGTTGCAACGTCACGCCGCCACACTCCTTCCACCTGCATACCCACCACCGTAAGGACGCACTGCTACGGCTTTCTGTGCCCCAGTCCCTTCCAGCCTCCAGTCCCAACACGCACCCCCGCACTTCCACCCTGCCTCGACACCAGTACACTACTGCTAAGCGCGCCACCCCCTGCCCTCCCCTACCCTGCTGCCGCAGCTACCCCTCCGGCCACCCCTTCGCGCAGCTGTCCGGCTCCGACAACCTGCTTGTCATCACTTCGGAGCGCTACCTGGAGAGGCCGCTCTGTGTGCGGGGGCCTGGCGCGGGGGCGGAGGTTACTGCGGCCGGCGTGTTCGGGGACCTTATACAGGTGCGGGGAGGGCGGGGGAGGAGAGGGTGATGAATGGAGGGGAGGTAGGGGAATGGGGGGGGACGCGGTCCGGCGGATTAGTCAGGGTTTTGTTGCAGGAGTCGTACAACAGTGGTGTATTTGGATAAGCCGGGTGTGAGACGGGGGGCTATTAGGTGCCTTGGCTAGGTCCGCTTTACCCTGGTCCTACGGTTCGCACGGCATCAAGCTGTGTTCCCACCGCCACTTGGCTGCAGGTCATTCGGTCTCACCCTCGACTGTGAAGTGGTAATCAGCTAGGAGCTCTTCGCAAGTGTGCAGCGCCCGCTGTTGTCTTCGTGATGGCTTTGCTGGTAGTGATGGTTAAGTGGCGATACGGCGCTTGTGGCTAGTAGGCATGGCAGAGCGGACTGGTGCTTGAAGGGAATGGGAACGAAGCTGAGCTCATCGCCCAGCAGAGCATGTGCAGATGTCTGGGAGGCGGTCCTATCGGTGTGCGCATGCACCCACAGGTGGCCGAGCTAGCTACCTGCCACATTATTGCAGGTGTGCGTCCTGCAGCAGCCCAACGCCTAGTTCATTCTCAGTAAGCCCGTATGCCCGGACCAACTGCCGACATTGTTCCAACACGAGAGCGGCGACAGCACAGCAGTGCCAAAGCGCTAACGCACGGGGGCACATTCCAGGCCGTAAGCACAGCAGAGCTATCCGTACACAACGCCCATACATGCATGGCATGCAAGGAAAGCGTACCTATCCTCTAAACCAGCAGCTGGAAGCAAGCCAAGGGCAGGAACCACAGGCACGCCTCAGTAGCCCTACACGGCTAGGACGCTAGGAGATCATCCACTCCCAGCACGCACGTAGGGACAATTGCCATAAAGTTCCTTCGTCGGTCGGAGTGCGTCATTCATTCCTTGCCCCTGCTCCACGTAAGCGTGCGTGGATGGTCTCCAGTCGCGAGAGGCGTGACTCCTTCGGTGCTGTGCCTTCAAATTGCGTCCCGCCGCCCAGAGATCCGCGCATGGGACTCGTCTGGTTTCGTGGGCCTTATGGCCTACCCGAACAAGGGCCTTCTGAATTAGCTTGAGGACATCCGCTGCGCCGTTGGTGTAGTAGCAGCATAGTCGCCTCCCACTGCTTAGCAAGGATCACGCGACTGACCCGGGTGCAAATCCCGGACGGCGCATGAGTGCTTTTGCTGCGCGCATCTACCCGTTTTGCCACCGCAGCAGTGCCTTTTCGTTCACCGACAAATGTGCTCATGTTCGACGCGGGACATGCTAGCAGAGAATCAACCAGGGTTCGTGCTTTGCGCGTGCATAGTTGCCTGGGATGCGGCTCCTTGTGGCGGGGTCAGACGCTAGTGGTTGTGTGACCGCTCGTGTAGCTCTGCGCATGGGCAGGTGGAGTGGGAACGAAGCTGAGCTCATCGCCCAGCAGAGCATGTGCAGATGTCTGGGAGGCGGTCCTATCGGTGTGCGCATGCACCCACAGGTGGCCGAGCTAGCTACCAGCCACATTATTGCAGGTGTGCGTCCTGCAGCAGCCCAACGCCTAGTTCATTCTCAGTAAGCCCGTACGCCCGGGCCAACTGCCGACACTGTTCCAACACGAGAGCGGCGACAGCACAGCAGTGCCAAAGCGCTAACGCACGGGGGCACATTCCAGGCCGTAAGCACAGCAGAGCTATCCGTACACAACGCCCATACATGCATGGCATGCAAGGAAAGCGTACCTATCCTCTAAACCAGCAGCTGGAAGCAAGCCAAGGGCAGGAACCACAGGCACGCCTCAGTAGCCCTACACGGCTAGGACGCTAGGAGATCATCCACTCCCAGCACGCACGTAGGGACAATTGCCATAAAGTTCCTTCGTCGGTAGGAGTGCGTCATTCATTCCTTGCCCCTGCTCCACGTAAGCGTGCGTGGATGGTCTCCAGTAGTCGCGAGAGGCGTGACTCCTTCGGTGCTGTGCCTTCAAATTGCGTCCCGCCGCCCAGAGATCCGCGCATGGGACTCGTCTGGTTTCGTGGGCCTTATGGCCTACCCGAACAAGGGCCTTCTGAATTAGCTTGAGGACATCCGCTGCGCCGTTGGTGTAGTAGCAGCATAGTCGCCTCCCACTGCTTAGCAAGGATCACGCGACTGACCCGGGTGCAAATCCCGGACGGCGCATGAGTGCTTTTGCTGCGCGCATCTACCCGTTTTGCCACCGCAGCAGTGCCTTTTCGTTCACCGACAAATGTGCTCATGTTCGACGCGGGACATGCTAGCAGAGAATCAACCAGGGTTCGTGCTTTGCGCGTGCATAGTTGCCTGGGATGCGGCTCCTTGTGGCGGGGTCAGCCGCTAGTGGTTGTGTGACCGCTCGTGTAGCTCTGCGCATGGGCAGGTGGAATGGGAACGAAGCTGAGCTCATCGCCCAGCAGAGCATGTGCAGATGTCTGGGAGGCGGTCCTATCGGTGTGCGCATGCACCCACAGGTGGCCGAGCTAGCTACCTGCCACATTATTGCAGGTGTGCGTCCTGCAGCAGCCCAAAGCCTAGTTCATTCTCAGTAAGCCCGTACGCCCGGGCCAACTGCCGACACTGTTCCAACACGAGAGCGGCGACAGCACAGCAGTGCCAAAGCGCTAACGCACGGGGGCACATTCCAGGCCGTAAGCACAGCAGAGCTATCCGTACACAACGCCCATACATGCATGGCATGCAAGGAAAGCGTACCTATCCTCTAAACCAGCAGCTGGAAGCAAGCCAAGGGCAGGAACCACAGGCACGCCTCAGTAGCCCTACACGGCTAGGACGCTAGGAGATCATCCACTCCCAGCACGCACGTAGGGACAATTGCCATAAAGTTCCTTCGTCGGTAGGAGTGCGTCATTCATTCCTTGCCCCTGCTCCACGTAAGCGTGCGTGGATGGTCTCCAGTAGTCGCGAGAGGCGTGACTCCTTCGGTGCTGTGCCTTCAAATTGCGTCCCGCCGCCCAGAGATCCGCGCATGGGACTCGTCTGGTTTCGTGGGCCTTATGGCCTACCCGAACAAGGGCCTTCTGAATTAGCTTGAGGACATCCGCTGCGCCGTTGGTGTAGTAGCAGCATAGTCGCCTCCCACTGCTTAGCAAGGATCACGCGACTGACCCGGGTGCAAATCCCGGACGGCGCATGAGTACTTTTGCTGCGCGCATCTACCCGTTTTGCCACCGCAGCAGTGCCTTTTCGTTCAGCGACAAATGTGCTCATGTTCGACGCAGGACATGCTAGCAGAGAATCAACCAGGGTTCGTGCTTTGCGCGTGCATAGTTGCCTGGGATGCGGCTCCTTGTGGCGGGGTCAGACGCTAGTGGTTGTGTGACCGCTCGTGTAGCTCTGCGCATGGGCAGGTGGAATGGGAACGAAGCTGAGCTCATCGCCCAGCAGAGCATGTGCAGATGTCTGGGAGGCGGTCCTATCGGTGTGCGCATGCACCCACAGGTGGCCGAGCTAGCTACCTGCCACATTATTGCAGGTGTGCGTCCTGCAGCAGCCCAACGCCTAGTTCATTCTCAGTAAGCCCGTACGCCCGGGCCAACTGCCGACACTGTTCCAACACGAGAGCGGCGACAGCACAGCAGTGCCAAAGCGCTAACGCACGGGGGCACATGCCAGGCCGTAAGCACAGCAGAGCTATCCGTACACAACGCCCATACATGCATGGCATGCAAGTAAAGCGTACCTATGCCTCTAAACCAGCAGCTGGAAGCAAGCCAAGGGCAGGAACCACAGGCACGCCTCAGTAGCCCTACACGGCTAGGACGCTAGGTGTGCATATATGTGAGATCATCCACTCCCAGCACGCACGTAGGGACAATTGCCATAAAGTTCCTTCGTCGGTCGGAGTTCGTCATTCATTCCTTGCCCCTGCTCCACGTAAGCGTGCGTGGATGGTCTCCAGTCGCGAGAGGCGTGACTCCTTCGGTGCTGTGCCTTCAAATTGCGTCCCGCCGCCCAGAGATCCGCGCATGGGACTCGTCTGGTTTCGTGGGCCTTATGGCCTACCCGAACAAGGGCCTTCTGAATTAGCTTGAGGACATCCGCTGCGCCGTTGGTGTAGTAGCAGCATAGTCGCCTCCCACTGCTTAGCAAGGATCACGCGACTGACCCGGGTGCAAATCCCGGACGGCGCATGAGTGCTTTTGCTGCGCGCATCTACCCGTTTTGCCACCGCAGCAGTGCCTTTTCGTTCACCGACAAATGTGCTCATGTTCGACGCGGGACATGCTAGCAGAGAATCAACCAGGGTTCGTGCTTTGCGCGTGCATAGTTGCCTGGGATGCGGCTCCTTGTGGCGGGGTCAGACGCTAGTGGTTGTGTGACCGCTCGTGTAGCTCTGCGCATGGGCAGGTGGAATGGGAACGAAGCTGAGCTCATCGCCCAGCAGAGCATGTGCAGATGTCTGGGAGGCGGTCCTATCGGTGTGCGCATGCACCCACAGGTGGCCGAGCTAGCTACCTGCCACATTATTGCAGGTGTGCGTCCTGCAGCAGCCCAAAGCCTAGTTCATTCTCAGTAAGCCCGTACGCCCGGGCCAACTGCCGACATTGTTCCAACACGAGAGCGGCGACAGCACAGCAGTGCCAAAGCGCTAACGCACGGGGGCACATTCCAGGCCGTAAGCACAGCAGAGCTATCCGTACACAACGCCCATACATGCATGGCATGCAAGTAAAGCGTACCTATGCCTCTAAACCAGCAGCTGGAAGCAAGCCAAGGGCAGGAACCACAGGCACGCCTCAGTAGCCCTACACGGCTAGGACGCTAGGTGTGCATATATGTGAGATCATCCACTCCCAGCACGCACGTAGGGACAATTGCCATAAAGTTCCTTCGTCGGTCGGAGTTCGTCATTCATTCCTTGCCCCTGCTCCACGTAAGCGTGCGTGGATGGTCTCCAGTCGCGAGAGGCGTGACTCCTTCGGTGCTGTGCCTTCAAATTGCGTCCCGCCGCCCAGAGATCCGCGCATGGGACTCGTCTGGTTTCGTGGGCCTTATGGCCTACCCGAACAAGGGCCTTCTGAATTAGCTTGAGGACATCCGCTGCGCCGTTGGTGTAGTAGCAGCATAGTCGCCTCCCACTGCTTAGCAAGGATCTAGACTGACCCGGGTGCAAATCCCGGACGGCGCATGATTGCTTTTGCTGCGCGCATCTACCCGTTTTGCCACCGCAGCAGTGCCTTTTCGTTCAGCGACAAATGTGCTCATGTTCGACGCGGGACATGCTAGCAGAGAATCAACCAGGGTTCGTGCTTTGCGCGTGCATAGTTGCCTGGGATGCGGCTCCTTGTGGCGGGGTCAGCCGCTAGTGGTTGTGTGACCGCTCGTGTAGCTCTGCGCATGGGCAGGTGGAATGGGAACGAAGCTGAGCTCATCGCCCAGCAGAGCATGTGCAGATGTCTGGGAGGCGGTCCTATCGGTGTGCGCATGCACCCACAGGTGGCCGAGCTAGCTACCTGCCACATTATTGCAGGTGTGCGTCCTGCAGCAGCCCAACGCCTAGTTCATTCTCAGTAAGCCCGTACGCCCGGGCCAACTGCCGACACTGTTCCAACACGAGAGCGGCGACAGCACAGCAGTGCCA